GTTCACACTAATAATAAATCTTGACTTAAAGTTTTCGTGACTGCAGGAATTCATATTCGTGGGACTTTGGGTAAAGTCACGTGGATAGGTTATTTCTTTGAACCTATCTACGTGACTTTACCGAAAGACCCAAGAATATTCACACTTATAGTTTACATTTATTTCCGCAAGTCACCAACTGTTGCTACCGTGCTGATAAATTGGCACGATGCGAGATTGATTGTACATTAGGTGACCGAGCTAAAGCAATTTCAGTGGTCCAACGAGAAAGTAACGCCGTGTTGTTACACTTAGCACCTCATGGAGTTGTTAAACACATTTGTATACGCAACGTTGTCCTTATACTGTCGTGAAAATCATGACGCAGTCCATCGACTGGGGCCACAATAACAACGGCGGTACGTTGTCACTTCGTTTCGACGAACAGCCAGACTGAGCTTCCCTGAACACCGCAATATATGCCCCTTCATAGTCTCGTACACTTGAGTAACACTTTCGAGCGGTGTCCATGTAATTGAATAGCAGTGCAAATAGACTTTGGTTACATCTCATGAATGCATAAGCATTCATATATACGTGTGTGTGTGTAGGGCCAGGTTCAGGTAATGGTGCGTGTTCTTATTAATCGAATTTCTGGGAAAAAAATTTTCTCCATAAACAGGCATCAGGACAAGTCACCAACAACAATGCGGTTTAGGCCATATCGTCAATATTTGTATCTGGTCCACACACATAGAGCAGCTCTGGAAGTGCTTACAAATAATAGTCTTTCGTAAAATGTCATGCTGGATAAATGGTCGAGAGTGTGCTTGTAGTAAGATAGTTGAAGCAAAATCTGAAAACGTATTTTCTTCCAAGATTGCATTCTTGCTTCATTGTCGGTTCAATTGACTCTTGAAGACTCAAGTAAACAAAATAGGAAAAACATGTTATACGTAGGCTTTCACAAACCAATTTGGTTCTGATAGCACCACATGAGCATTTAATTTGATTGGCTCTGTTGGGTGGAAGTGGATTACGGTGCAATTTTTACCTACTTACACGATCTGATGAAATAATAATTAAGACTCGAAAGAATGAACACACAATGACAACTATTCAACTCGAGGTGGCTTCATCTTTGACAGGCAAAGCCAGATGCAGCATTATAAGGCAGAGTGAAAAGAAGATGCGGGACAGAACTGGTGCTGCCCATCTCTCCTCCAATCTGACTCGCTGTGCTTCGGCTGCCTGGGGCTCTGTTCGTCGCACATTTGGAAGCCGTTTGGATGAACTACGTGCAATTGGGCATTTTTTTCACCAGGATTCACCAATTTGGCCCAAGGTCCTGAAGACAGTCACCAAGGCGTAGTTACTCACCGTGAGGGCAGCATTTGGTAATTAACTAAGTGACTTCTCACGTGACTGCCGTTGTGTATTTGAAAGAAAAACAGTGACTGGGGGAGGAATAATTTAACGGGGTAACGAGTTAGTAAAGTTGTCCTTGAGTTGATATGCAGGCAATGGAAAACCAGCACGAAAGACCTAAGGTATCAAACGCATGTGAATTCATTTCAAATTTAAGTGAACATCCTAGCGGCGGTATTATATACCAAAATGTTGGTTCTGAATTCCACAGAGGACACAGGGGCAGGTGATCAATGTGGAATATACAATAACAAAAGATGGGTTCCACTTCTGGAACGAATGATCATATTGGTAGAAACGGGGAGATATATTTAAGATGAACAAAACATATTTGGAGGGTGGATTCGCAGCAAGGGAAACACCGATCCTGACAAAAATTACTTCAGCCTCGCCTACTCTGCTCGGGCAATCACAGAGGCCTTTGTAAATATATGCAAACTCTTTGTGTAGTCCCACCAGGACTGTATACAGGCAGGCCTGCTCGTATGAATGCTGACATGTTTTGTGAGTTGGTTGTCGACGTTCTAGCACAAGAGGTTCAATTTCACGAGAAAATTTTGGTAGCCGCAATTTGGACACATCTGTGTAGATCGTAGAAGCTATAGCCATGACAGATTATATTCACAGGCAGATTAATTATTCTACCTCCACAATGCATCCTCAATCACAATGTGCAGACGTTATGGGAAATATGGAGCCACTCACCCAGCTCCTTTGTAGCCACCTCTTCGTGCCCATGTTCTGTGCAGAGAACAGAGCCTATACATCCTCGTAAGGAAGGGGTTTAAGCTTCTAGCGCAGACACAATAGCTCAAATCCATCCAATGAGTTGGATATTTTGCCAGCGTTAAATGTATGCATGTGTGGATCAGGGAGCCCGCTCACGATCTACGACTCAAAAGGAATAAGAAGTAGAGCAAGTAGACAATACTCGTCACCCCCCATTGTTGGAGAGTGAATAGATATAACTCCTCTGCACGAAGTAGCGTGTGCTTTCCCTCCATGATAATGAGCAAAATACACGCGATCGCAGCACTGGAATTGGATCGCATGACACCGCCACGTTCTTATTGGCATCGTGGGTTATCATCAACTCCATTTGGTGGGTGTCACTAAACACAAAACAATGGTATCACTCCGTATCACCTGGGTGAACTGGGCAATGATGGACGCACAACCCGACATCGGCATCGCTGTTCACTTTCAATGGGAAATTAATAAACGCATCGTGATCCGCCTTCTGAAAATGATTTTCCAATACGAGGCATTGAGTCATACTACGTGATAAGCGATTTATAATAGCAATGTTGTTATTTCATAGTAGCAAACCAATGTATTGGTAGCGGTATTGCAGATACATGATTTGTTACGTCAATATTGACGCAAGTGACCTTGGTGAGACACGGACCATGGAGTCTCTCTTGAGTCTGTCGGCTCTTGGGGGAGCCGTGCACCATGCGTGCCTCACCAGGGCAACAGATTGGGCCACATCGCCACCACCATCATCATCACCACCACCATCATTACCACCACCACCACCATCATAAACAACAACCGCCATTCACGACTAAGTGGTGGTGAGGTCACCACGGCGCTTGTGCCAGGCTATGTGCACGTTGAGGCCACGTGAAGTGTCGAACGCCTGCTGGCAGGAGGTCACGGGGCAGACCCAGGTGCCACGGGTCGACTGACTGAGATGACTGGCCAATGCAGCACCTGTGCCCCCTACTGTGCCAACTTTCTGTGCTTTATCCACCCGGTGCTCCGCTCGTTGTTGTGAGCATCGCTCCTCTGCCTTCCATTGTTGTTGCAGGGCGACTGCCTCCAACTGCCCAGCAGCGTCCTTCACAAGCCTCCTCCACAGAGGCCGATCTTGACACCGCTGGCACCAGTTATCGGCAAGTTCACTCAGCTCCACATCCTCTTGTGCCACATCACTTCATTTCTTCTCTAGCTCGTGCTGCGCCCGTTTAGCCCCCTCGATCCGGCCGAACAAAAGCTGTTTCGGCATGCGGTGGCTGGGCATGCGGGCTACATGACCCAGCCAACGCAGCCTTGCCTGCCAGAGGAACTCACCGATGGGACTTTGTCCAGATCTTTCAAGGATTTGTGAGCTCACACAATCCAGCCTGGTTATATCCAGGATGGATCGTAGGCAGGCCATATCACCTTCAGCAAAGGCTGCCATCATCACCACCACCACCATCATCATCATTACCACCACCATCATCATCACCACCACCACCATCATGATCATTATCATCATCATCATAATTACCACCATCATCATTATCATCATTACCACCACCACCATCACTGCCACCATCACCACCACCAGCACCATTATCACCACCATCATCATCATTACCACCACCATCATCATGACCACCATGCACCCGGAACTGGTCAAACATATGACTGTGGTGGTCGGACATGAGAAAAATATATTTTTGAGTAACAATAACTAAACTATAAACTATTTTTATTTCACCAGGCAAGGCCCACTGAGCTATATAGCTCATTTTCAGAAGCGATCTGGCCACAAATGATAGCTCAACGAAGTGGCTTATCATGTGGACATTTATAGCAGCAGCTGAATACTCTAATCACATGTTTCTAAATGTGGAGGGAAAAACTGGAGGATCCAGAGAAAAATCCACGCGACCATGGGGAGAGAGACATGCGAACTCCAAATATACAGCGGGCGTCAGGGTCAGAATCGAACCCACAGCCTCCTGTATACCAGGCGAGGTAGTTAACATCTCGCCACCGTGACGCCCAAAATAATGTACTGGTAGTGGTAGTATATATATTACAGGGTGGGAGGTTGTTGTTTTGTATGCCATTATTGTGCCAGGTAACAATGGTTTATGCCATGCGTACGAGATTGCTATTATAAATACATTAAGAGCACTTCGGGGATCACTATGCTTGTATTGCAATATCTGCAGTCGTCGGCAGGCCTTGTGCACACGACACCTGGCAGAGACACCTGCAGGTATTGCCGAGGCCCACTGCATAGGTCACCAAAGGCACAATGGAACGTCTGCAACATGGGTCAATTGATGATGTCACAGGCCTTGACCAAGTACACGTCACAGATATACATCTCGTATTGAAAACACCTTCACCCGTTGCAGTAAACGGATGGAAAACATGGAATTTGTGTAAAGTTAAGCCCCGACTGAACCCACGTTGGGGTTGTATGCACCCTTCCTCAGCATGCATCGCCAGGTGATGCTGTACAACTGTTGACAATCGAATGCTGAGGATTGATGCTTGTGTGACCCTCTTGTTAAGAAAAGAAATCAGTTTTAACGTCTAATGGAACTCTTCTTTTGGTGGAGGCTGTTGCGATGATGCTATGCCAGGTGACCTTCACAGAACACGCCCCCACCCACTCCCTCAGTCATACACTTGAGAATTATTGCCTCCTGACAATGGCGGAGCCAGGATTTTCAGGTAGGGGGGGCAACCCCTCCAGCAATGAAAAATGATAGAGGAGTTGTTAGTAGTGAGTAAGGACTTGTCCCTTGCTTTTTATTCAACGCGTGTGCGGCGATGGCGCAGCCATCGATCGAGGGTCGAATTCGAACCGCGTTGTGTGATCGGCATCGCGCTCGCTGAAGGTGTTGATGCCTTCAGGGAAATCGTGTACTGTATACACAACTGCGCACAATTCTGAGTCACTTATAACTGCTTTGCCGTTACTTATTGACAATTATGAACTCAGACCATTGCCCTATTATCTCATAGAGTTCCTGTCATGTAATAATATGCTACACAGTGGCAATGGGGGTCGCAAAATGCCGATTTATTACGAATAAACCCCAATGATCCACCCCCACCACTGGCTCCGCCAGTGCCTCCTGACACTATTCTTGGTCATATGCTCCGTGGACACACACACAGTCCTAACTGATGTCCTGTTGATGCAGGTGGAATATTACTACAACCATCCACAACGATATACAACTCTTGTCTAAACTTTACTGGGCTAGTACGGGACTAACGAGCTACAAGGACACAACAATCACGCCTCTCGTCCTCGCGTGGTCGTTCCACCCGCGGCGAATCCAAATTTTACATTTTATTAACGGCCGCATGCTCACCGACACAATAACAAATGCGATTACCAAGTCGCAGCAATAATGGTGGCTGTGAGCGGTTCGTAAGGTAACGAGGCTGTGTCCCTTTAAGTCCTGGCACCTTGGGGGACCATCTGTGTGGGTAGTTTTAGTTTTGTGTCTGAGCCAGCTGCTTCTATGGGTTTGGAACTCTAGCTGTGGTCATGATGTACTTTTGGCATCACGGCGAGGAATCCATGCAGCCCGGCCTAGTGGCGCGGCCGCCGCCCGGCGGCTCGGAGCTCATGTTCTCGAACACGATGGCGTAGGAGGGCTCCTGCCACTTGCGCTCCCTCCACATGGCCAACACGCACTTGTGCACAAACAGGTACTGGTCCTGAAAACGAAAAAAAACACACACACACAACACAAACACGCACGTGTACCGGTCACTCTGGTGTCAGAGATAATCGAGAAGTCAACGACAACTTTTGGGTCATGCGTCACGGGAGATGGCACTGACGGGGCACGCTCTGTGCTCCCAATGCAGCGACTACGGTTTGCATTCTCCCTCTGCGCGGGGTTGATTTGGGCTCCGTCTTGGGTGTGCATATGAATAAAGGCGGTAGGATGGGGTGTGACCATTTTCTTGTACACTTTGCCAATGTTAACATTTGTGGATTTTTGGAGCTTTTTGCACTGAAGGCCAGTGAAAACTGTAAGACACACTTTTGAGATAGGTTAATACAATTTGCAGCCACACTGACCACATCTGCCATATCACCTTTGGCAAAGGGTGTCTAAAGGGCCGGGCGTGGTCCGTGACCTCTTGTTTATAATGCCCAACTTGTACCCTCTGTCACTTTTACCTTTTCCCCGACAATACTCCTACTATTTTTGGTTCTTTCGGTAAAGTCACGTAGAAGGGAAACAATAAAATAATAAAAATATAAAACAATAAAATTCTCACGACGTTTTGACTGCAACACAAGCAATCGTCATCAGGTGTGAAAACCACAGCAAGAAAATAAAAAAAATATAATGCATAATGTTAGAGCTTATATTGGGCTGTTCATATAATGCATAATGTTAGAGCTTACATTGGGCTGTGTATACGATATAATACAATGTAGTTTAGATTGGAAGGTATAATATTGTAATGTATAGTAGTCTAGTTTATAGTATAGTTGTAACGCAGCACAGGACAGAGTAGCGTATCGTGGCTGTTTCTCTCTCTCCCCCCCTCCTCCGTTCCGAGCATAGATGGACTCGTCCGTCTGAATGCTCGCCGCTTTCTGTGGTGCTAACGTTGAAAAGAAACCTCTACTTTTTTCGACGTAGAATTGTAATGTATAGTGACTCATTGCTAGTAGCTCAGCTGATTGGATAGTATATTAAGTTTATTGATAATATTGATGTAGTTTATATTTTAGTTTTTTTAATCAGTTTACTATATGGTATTCATTATATAGTGTAGTGTATACCCAGTTACTTAGTGTTAATAGCTCAACTTATTGGAGAATATATTGAGTACATTGATTATATTGATGTAGTTTATATTTAGTTCTTTCACATCGGCTTATTGTATGATAGTTGGGTAGTTGCAGTTATTTAGCGTTAATACTGAATGCCTCTGTTGATATGTAAACTCTGACTTTAACATAGCCACTTCCGTGACCAGTTACATGCTAAATCCTCACATGGACATTATGCTAATCTCCCAGTTACATGCTAATTTCTCACTTCAACATCCTGCTAATCTCTTAGTACCTTTCAGTGTAATGTTTAATATAATTTCCCAGTTACATGCTAAATTCTGATTTTAACATCCTGCTAATCTATCACATTAACTTAGCTATTTCAATGCTAAATTCTTCTGTTGATATGTAAACTCCTTTGTCAAGGCGCTCTGCTCCTCCCACCCAGCTTAAAATACGCTGCTAAGCTTGGCAGTGTTCATTGGAACGCTGTCTTTCCGGCAGTTCTGTTTCTTCACCTGAAGACGGCTGCTTGTGTTGTGGCCGAAACGTCATGATAATTTTATTTTATTATGTTAAATTTTTATTATTTTATTATTTCCCTTCTACGTGACTTTACCGAAAGAACCAAGAAGATGAATCCATGCAGTCACGAAAGCTTTAAATCAGAACATCAATATTTTAACCAATTGTCCATTTTCTGAGGTAATCCTAACTAGCTGGTAACTGCAAGCAAACACAAAAAAATCAACGAATGCTCTGCATGCATAACGTGATTTGTTCGCGCTCGCTAGTTACTCTTGTTAACTGCATTGTTTATATACGAATTGCCTTTGCCCTTTCTGGCAATAAAACAGCTGTGTTTAGAAGATGTTACAACGGAAAACTGAAACCTTTTGCAAGGAATCGTGTCTGCTATTGACCACAGACTTGCTGTGAACATGCAACAACATGTTTGCATGTTCACCACAAGTTCACGACAGGTATGTGTGGTTAATGCAGACGTGATTCCTTGCAAAATGTTTCTCTTTGGTGTTTTAACATCTTAACACCTGTTTTATTGGCAAAAAGCGTAAAACCAATTCTTATACAGTGGTACCCCGGAGATCGAACTTAATTCGTTCCAGAAGGCCATTCGAACACCGATTTGCTCGAACACCGAATTCATTTTTCCCATAAGAATGAATGTAAATGACATTAATTGGTTCCAGACACAAGAAATCTCTCATTATAAAGCATTTTTATACGAAGTTTACATGCATAAAATCATAAAAAAAAACAAGAAACACAATAAATGGAATAAATGAATAAATACATGGAATAAATTACATAAATTAACATTGAACTTCACTTGTAGTAAGGAGAGTTGATGGCTTGAGTAGAAGGTGGTGAGGAGGAGGAGGTGGTGGTGTTATTGTTTGAAAGGGGAGTCCCCTTCCATAATAAAGTCGGGTAACTGCCCTTCTGGGGTCCTTTCTCTTTTGTGCCTCTTTTCTGCCACTAACTGCGAGTCACTTAAGCTCTTTCTGACTAAAAACTTATCTAAAGAGGTTTGTTTCTGCCTCTCATGCGGAAAAACCTTTGTCTGGGCAAGCGTCATGCACGCTGCTGGCCATACGCGTCTCAGCCGTGTACAGGCTCTTTCAAGTCGCGATTGCCCGTTCGACCTCCGAATTTCGTTCGGTTTCCGGGGCAAAAAATGTTGGGAAATCTCGTTCGAACACCGATTTGTTCGAGTTCTGGTGCGTTCGATCTCCGAGGTTCTACTGTATTTTGATACTGGCAAGAAAGGTCTAATGACGCATCGTTTATGATCAATGAGTTTAGAAAGGTATTTCACATGGTTCTAGCTTACCATATGGATTTTAATGTTTTCGTAGTAAATTTATATTGGCAGATGCATACATGATTATTCACCAACGACTCTCACTTACGTTATAATTTCACACAGTTATAAATCACCTCACGTATTCGTGTACAGGAAAATTGAGTTTTCAGGTTCATTCGGCATACAGCCGTTTCAATACGGGCAATTTTTTTTTCTATTTGTTTGTGTTTCTTCTATGTGATGGAACTTTGAAGGATGAACGATGAGATTTAAGGGCACGAGGTGATCAATAAGGTCAAAAAGAGAAAGAGTTGACAGGTGAGGATCCGTGTACGCCCAGTTGAGAACCACTGATCTAAACTAGGCCTCATGTCTCTGCGTCTCCCTCTAGAAATGTTGAAATCATTGTGCTTTGTAGTTACATTAAGCCCCACGAGGACACTCCTCACTCTAACCCACTCAGCAGCCAACCTCCTTATGATTAAGACGCAGAAGTCTTGTTGGCCGTCACTCTCATCGTCAAAGCCATCTCTTCTCCCATAGTTATTTCATACCTCGCCAAGGGAATACGAGGAGATAGAGACTCTAGCTCCAGTCCGACCGTGTCAACATACCCCAGTACACTGACTCTGGGGAACACTCCATGCCAGCGCCACCCAAGACCTCACCTATCCTCTCTAGTATATTCAAGACAGTCTCTCTCACTCTAAACTACAACTCTCCTGAAGAACACAATTTCCCCGAAACAGATATGTTTCCTGTCAGCTGTATATATTTTTATATTTATCAGTATGCTGTCTCACGAACAACAATTCAATGGCTGTATAACTCCAACATATATAACCTCATACTGTATATCATTACCCTGCCTATTCTGTGCATCAAACAGTGGCACGTAAACCTTCATATAGGCTGCACTTTATATCAAATATGTCATTTAGAAAATCACCAACCCCCACCTGCTCTAGGCTGTTCTATCTGAAACAGGAGTACATCACTCCAGCTGTAATGGTGTCTCTAACCCTTGACATTAATTGCAGGAACCAATACATTTATATATTCCATTAAGGTCCTTAAGATCTTCTGATCTTCAACTGGTCAGCACTCCCAGGTCTAGGTTGCGCTCTTTTGGCAATCGGTGCTTTTTTAGCGTGGCACTCAAGCTATGGAACGCTTCGCCACTTGAAATCAGGAAATCTAAGTCGGTAGATATACTCAAGTCTGCTTTGAAAACTCATCTCTTTAAAGTGGCCTTCCCTCTATAGTTTGGTCAGTTGCCCTGGTTCTGTTTTTGTTTCCTGCTTTCTATGCATTGCACATTGGGATCCTAGGATGGAATGTGCATCATTATACATTTGAATTAGAATTATTAACACTTCCTCCTATAACCGGGTTGCCACGACTTCCACAAACTGTACCCTGACATATTTTTCAAGTCAGCCATGGGTCTATCGAAACTGCAATAAAGTTCAACGTAACAACAGTACCAGATCTCGCGAGAAATCAATTCCCGTCCACTCAAACCTGGACCCCAGTTCCCGGATTGCCCAGGTCAAACGCAGACGGGCGGCATCCTGTACTCGAGAATTGCTGCAAATGTCCTTCTTCGGAGATTCATGCACTGCTCTGGATGCCCTCCGGCCACGATGGCGGGAAATGGAGGTGTTGATGAGCGGCGGCGACGTTCACCTCTGTTTGCACCATGGCTGGACGGTGTCGCCGCATGTCCGCCACCAGGCCCAGGATGTCCACAAACTCGTGCTTCCGGACGTGCTGGATCAAGCGGTGCAGGGCGATGAAGGTGCCCGTCCTGCCCACGCCGGCGCTGCGAAACAAAGTTGTGGCCTAAAAACGCGCGTGGGACTGGCATGAATCAGGTGACTTCAGAGCAATGTAGACCGCCATTTAGAATAAGAAGAAAAATAAAACACCCTGGTATTTTTTGTCAACGGCGGACAATATATGTGGGTCACAAACCCTAGACGAGGGAATTGTGAAGGGACAAAAACCATAGCATTTTTTAAAATAAATGTTTTAAAGGGGTGATTGATGCTGCATTCCTCTTGATATGTGTCACGCCCATGCCTTGTGGTGTGACATGCGTGTGTCTCGTGGTGTCAGTGACACTCGTGTGTCCCTTGGTGTGAGTGACACCACACACATCTCATGCAGTGGATGAGCGGACGGAACCTGCAGTGCACCACGAGAGGACGGACGACGGGCTCTGATTGGCTGCCGCGGACCAGACGCACAAACTGCAGCAACCCCGCGATGCTCTTGTCAGTGGGCACGCCGTGGTCAGGCCACGCCGTGTAGTTGTAGTGGGTGATCTCGCGAGTTTCCTCCTCCTCCTGCTGCGGGGTCGCAAAGCGTGAACACAGAATGGTGAAAAATGAGAATAGGTAATGAGAATAGGCAATGAAACATGAGTCTTGTTAACATGTTCAAACACCAAATAGGTATCTTTTTCAAGGCATCGAGCCTGCATTAGCTACGCATTCTCGTGGCAAAACATGCAAACAAACATTATCTGATAATATATACACCAGAGACAGCCATCTTTATGGCCTTGTCTCACCAGTATCAGACTAGAGAATGCCAAAAGGCAAACAGTACAAAGACAATGCAAGTATCAGGACACTTATAGCTCGGGCAAGCAGTTATGTCTACGGGACCTTTTTTGCCAGTATCCATAATGATGAAAAATAAGAATAGGTTTGACTCTTTCTACCTAAACAAAGACTAAACCTATGAGGGATTAGGGCACAACGATTGTTGTTGGATTAGCCGAGATATATGTTTAACAAAAAACGCTCAACACAGTCAGCAATAACACAGCGACCTTACAAGAAAACACATTAAATAGTAGGTTACGATTCGGGCAATGGCCCTTCTTCACAGCGCATACAAACATAGCTGTCAACCCATACAATTTACCCGTATTCTTCTACAGGGAATTTGAGTTTTCAGGTCCATACGGCATACAGCTGTTTCAATATGGGCAAAAAAAATCGTATATTTGTTTGTGTTTCTCCCTCGTGATGGGACTTTGTAGGATGAACATTGAAATTTATAAGGAAACGGGGTGATCAATAAGGTCTGAATTGGTCTGTAATAAGGTAGGCACTGATAAGGGGTTGACAAGTATGTATAAACGAGAGGCCAGAGAGATAGAGTGCACAGTAAGAGTTGGAGACTACACTTGTTTACACCATGGGGCCTCATGAGAATCACATTTTCAAGAAACGTTTTCTCGTGAACAGTGTTTAAATTGGTATCAAATAGTTACACTAATAGTGGCTATTGGGTACAGACAAACCCTTCAATAAATAAAAAAAACGACTACGAAATAAACTGATTTACATTAAAAGTACACTGAAAAAGTGTTGCTGGCACAGTGCAATGTGGGAAGATGTATTCTTGTGAGCACAATGCACACTCTGCTTAAAAGGCCCATTGAGCATTTCAATACAGGAAATTTCTTTTTCACAGATGCCATGTGAGATGAACATTAGTGCTGGTCAGGGCAGGTTGGTGAAGATGGGGAGCAGAGACATTGGGTTGTGCTGCATTGCCTTCTGCCACCAAGAACGTAACCCCACAATAACAACAACAACCGCCATTCGCCAATGAGTGGCGGTGACGTCACCACGACACTTGTGCCAGGATATGTACACTTTGAGGCCACGTGAAGTGTCGAACGCCCGCTGGCAGGAGGTCATGGGGCAGACCCAGATGCCACAGGTCGACTGACTGAGACGACTGGCTGATGCACCACCTGTGCCCCCTACTGTCCCAACTTGCTGTGCTTTAGTCACCCGGCGCTCCGCTCGTTGTTGTGAGCGTTGCTCCTCCTCCCTCTGTTGTTGTTGGTGGGCAACTGCCTCCAACTGCCCAGTAGCATCCTTCACGAGCTTCCTCCACAGAGGCCGATCTTGACACCGCTGGTATCAGTCATCGACAAGTCCACTCAGCTCCACATCCTCCTGTACTACATCACTCCATCTCTTCTCTAGCCCGTGCCGTGCCCGTTTAGCCCCCTCGATCCATCCGAACAAAAGCTGTCTATGCATGCGGTGGCTGGGCATGCGGGCTACAGGACCCGGCCAACACAGCCTTGTCTGCCGGTGGAGCTCACCGATGGGACTTTGACCAGATCTTTCAAGGATTTGTGAGCTCCTCACACAATCCAGCCTGGTTAAACCCAGGATGGATCATAGGCAGGCCAGCCTAAATGTTTTTAAGCGGCGAAGATGTTCCATTAGGGGTGTCCACGTTTCACAAGCATAGCCGACAAGACCTGAAGCTTCGTGCGGAGCAACAGACCAGGTAGATTTTCACACATCGTTACGCAACTGATGAAAAGATAATTCCACTCGACTGATTCGGAGTGAGACCTCTGCTATTAAACCAGAGCCGGTCCTGAGCAAACTGCCCAGGTATGTGAAACTCTTCACTCTCTCCACAACTGCCCTATCACCAATTGGGAGTTGTGGAGGTGGAGTGTCTGATGGTACAAAATACCCAGGCAGGTGCTTAGTTTTGGTGGGGCTGATGGTAAGGCCCCACCTCTTAGTGGAAAGCTCCAGGTTCAGCAGCAGCACCTCCAACTCCTCCTCTGAGTGAGCAGCAATTACCAGATCATCGGCATACATAACATGGTTGAGCAATAGGGAGCCATCCCTTGACCGCACACCGGGCATCGATCAGCCTGCCATTGAATCTGTACCAGATGGAAATTCCTCCGGTACAGCTATTGAAGGCTTCACGAACTACGTGGTCAAAATAGATGTTAAATAATGTGGGAGCCAGAGGACATCCCTGTCGCACTCCAAGGTGTACAGGGAATGGCTCCGACTCCCAGCCACGTAGTTTTACCCGGGCCCGCTCACCATCATGAAGGTCCTTAATGATCGTGAGCACGAAGAAAAACCCAGAGGCCAGGCCTACTGATGGTATCATAGGCCTTAACCAGGTCAATAAAGCAGAGATGTAGGTCTTGTTGGAATTCCCTATACCTCTGCTGTAGCAGACGGACAGAAAATATGACATATATGCAGGACCGCCCTTTCCTGAAACTGCATTGGGGCTCCGCAAGCATCTCCTCAGCGTGCCTAGCAAGGCGATGTTGAATAATACTTGCCAGGACCTTTCCTGGCACACTGAGGAGTGAGATACCCCTGTAGTTGTTCCAGTCTGTGCGGTCCCCCTTCTTAAAGAGGGGGACCACCAGGGCACCCTTCCAATGCTGCAGAACCCGTCCAGTGGTCCAGACTGTTGTTATGATGTCATGTAGGGTAGTCTGTGCACAAACGCCACCCTCCCTCAGCATTTTGCTTGGGAGATCATCTCTGCCCGGTGTCTTTTCTGGTCTCAGACTCACTTTCAGTACTTCCTCAAAAGATGGGACCTCACAGCCAGCCACTCACAGGAGGGTGACTTCTTCTTCCAATGTCTGAGGCACCGCAGCCTCGGCAGGGTCATCTCCACTTTGTCCCACGTTTTTTTTCTAGACTGAGGGATTTCCCCTCCCCCAGGACCTCACAGAAATGCTCAGCAAATCTGCAAACCTGTTCCTGGGGGTCGGAGATTGGATCACCGTTCTTTCCCCTAATGATGGTAATAGGCGTGGTGCTGCAGGTTTATTTTTTTATGGAATTAAAGAGCGATTTGTGATCGCAAGCCATTAAGGCAAACTCCATCTCCTCAGCAACTCATGACCACCACCCATCTTTGCAGCGCCTCACGGCTCTCCGAACCTCCGAGCGAAGGCTGTGGTAAGCCTCCTCATTCTCTGACGTGGAATGCTGTAGCCGATGAGAGTAGACCTGTCGCTTTTTCTCAGCCTGCTTGAACACCTCCTCTGTCAGCCAGAGTCTCTGGAGAGGTCTGGACCGGGTACCCAAAGCAGCCATTGCAGCTGCATGAGCCATAGTCCTAAACCTCGCCCATTTGCCCTCGACATCAGGAGGAGTGGGGAACGATGCCAAACCCAGCCGCAAGCGATGATTAAATTTTTGCTTGCAACTTTCATCAGCTAGCTGAGACCATGCCTTTAAGGATTTGAATGGGGTCCTTGCTGTATACCCACTACTGGAGTGGAAGAATGGCAGGTGCATCTTAAAAATTACAAGTCGATGGTCAGTGGGCAGATCAGCTCCACGGTAGGTCCTGGTGTCAAGGACATGGGTCCGTATCTGCTGTTCCATCACTATGTAGTCCAGCAGGCGTTCTTGCTTGGACCCGGTATGCATCCATGATGTTGTGTGGATGCGCCGATGCCGGAACAGCGTGTTGGTAACTACAAGCCCATGGGCTACACAAAAATTGAGCAGCCTCCTGCCGTTGTTATTGAGCTGATCTGGCCCTTGCCTTCCAATCATTCAAGACCAGGTGCCAACATCATGACCAACTCGGGCATTGAAGTCACCCAACAAGATGACTCTATCACGAGGGGCGACTCTAGCTAGCGCAAGTAACAGGAGGTCATAGAAGGCATCTAACTCATCGGCCTTGCCTGCATCCCTCCACGGATGTTCGTCTTCGGTGGGGGCATAAGTAATCACGACCACCACTCCTCGCCTCTGGTTGATGGGAAGGCGAGCCCAAAGTAGCTTGGAGCTTACAGCTTTCCACACCTCAACGCCACGCTCCCATGCCCCCTTCATTCTTTTGTTCAGAAGAAGAGCCACTCCCTGTTGTTTGGCAGTCTCCTGCCCCGAGAAGAGGACTGTCCACCCCTCATAGTGGTAGGAGCCAGAGCCGGTCCACTGGACCTCCTGAATACCACAGAGATCCAGGCAGTACTGGTCTAGCTCCCGACAGAGGAGTGGCAGCCTCCCCTCTGCAGTGAGCGTTCGAACATTCCAAGTGGCCACAAGTAGTGGGTTTTTATTGTTTCTGGAGGAGCCCCGAGGGTAAGGATTCAGTCTCCTGGCTCCGCCAAATGCGGTTTGGCCAGAAGACGTCATCGACGCCTGTCCCCCCGGGGCTCCCAGCACAAGCTTATTAATACAACATTTCAGATGTGGTTTAGAGGTAATTAATTGAAGGTGGAGGGGTTACCAGCCCCTCGCACCCATCCAGAGGCCCCATTTAGCTGCTGTGGTGATTACAAACGCCATGAGGGGAAAGGCCAATTTAAATTGGCCCACCCCCCACGGCACTGCCCACCACAGCGTTGCCGTCCGGCACCACGAAGAGGTAGGGGGTTCATATTCTTAGTTTTTTCGGTAAAGTCACGTTGAAGAGAAACAACAAAATAATAAAATATATATAAAACAATAAAAAATTCTCACGACGTTTCGACCATAACTCAAACGGTCATCTTCAGGTGTGTTGGTTTGCATAAATCTATTTTTAAACGGCGCATTTTTTTTTTAAATAAACATGCAAAAAATAAATAAATGCGCCGTTTAAAAATAAATTTATGCAAACCAACACACCTGAAGATGACCGTTTGAGTTATGGTCGAAACGTCGTGAGAATTTTTTATTGTTTTATATATATTTTATTATTTTGTTGTTTCTCTTCAACGTGACTTTACCGAAAAAACTAAGAATATGAATTACTGCAGTCACGAAAGCTTTAAATCAAAAAGGTAGGGGGTTGTTTTGCCAGACCTCACAGCAGCCTGTAACACCTGCCTTCTATGCATGGTGGTTGCCCATCCAAGCACTGTCCAGGATTAACTCTGCTTAGTTTTCAGGATCTTTCGAAATTAGATACATTCTGGCATATTTGATCATCGGTACAATGATCACGTGCTCGAGATTCAATTTGTGTAGAGCAGTCAGTGCAGGGTTAGCTGTATACCGTGTCACTTCTTGTGTCTATGTAACAAAGAAACAAGAGAATATGTTCTTTTAAAAACGTAATATGGTTCACATAGAGCATTCAACAAATTAGTTGACAGACCTTTGTCACTCCACTGCAGGATGAAGGCCTTCTCATGCAGTGTCAGTCATGGGAGTTATTTGACCATACTTCACGACTTTGGTCAAGAGTGGTGTCGTGAAGTTTGATTCAGGACCAGTTCAGATGCCGTGGCTGGGAATCGAACTATAAGTATGCCAGGTACATAATGCAGCATGCTCCAAAAAAACAATTAAAACGTGTTTTTTATGTAATTGTGCTTCGTCTGGTGTTATATTATTATTTGTAGTATAATTTATACTCCATTTGTGTTCCTGTTAGAAATTAAGGAATTAAAATCGGTTTGTAATATTTACCATTCTGAAATTTTAATTTCTTACCTTATTGATATATTTCATAAAGTACTGGAATTATGAGGTTGATATATTTCTCCCCCCACCCCCCATTACGTTTGTGTCTGTAATATTTACTGTAGAGGCTATAATTACAATCAATGAGCTGCAAGAAATACAGGGCCATCCAGTGATAGACATCCCACTGCTTTCTTATGGCCCTCTTGACTCACTCATTCGCAGCTGATTCAATATTGTGAAAGTGATGGCTCCATATCTTATAGAGGAGAGAACTGGTATTTGCATTGCTCTCATAGAGAAAATCACTCAGGCACCAGGAATCACGGACAAGCAGGAAGGCAGCTAAGCAATGAACCGGTGCCAACTATTGCCCAAGGTTCGTGATCCTCTATACTGTATATTTAGCTATTATTGGCCAATTTATGAGTATTTACACGTGGGAGGAAGACAGAGCACCCAGAGAGGGGGAAACACTCTACCCCATACATATGGAACAGGTGGAATCCACATGTTTGCCTTCTCCTGGCGTGCCAGGGTATGACATCTCATCGTCTATGGGAAGGGGGTTTTGCAACATTTGTGCTGTGATCCACCAACGAACGCTTCCACCACAGTGCTAGGTTACAGGTCACGCGTATAGCCACCGATATCCGACTAAAATCGATGGGCGATGTGTAGAGGCTATGAATTAAAACGTTGCCGTTCACGATCATTTCACCCCATTATTTTAGTGTGTGTATCTATAAAACGAATAATCCATTTGTACATCAGCACTAGAGCCCTGTAAATGCTGACTTGCGTTCACAAGAGTGACGAGCACAGTCCCTTACCAGCATGAGTTTAAATGTGCGCGTAGTCCACTCCTCTTGCACGTACTCAGAAATCAGCTGGACCAAGGCCCCTCCGTGGCACTCCAGGTTCGTGTCCAGGGGCCAGTATCGGTCACATTTTGTCTGAACAATGTAATCAAACGTTTGCATGTTGTTATAATTATGGATTGAGGATATGCGTAGAGATTCTGGCAGTATTCTTTTGGTGAGATGATTCTCAGGTCATTTCTCAGCTCATACATGGTGGATAATGATGATGATTACGAAGACATTAAGGTGACGATAATCAGCGGTCTTTAGCAGCAAAGAACTACATTTGTGTCAATATATAAAATCATATTCCTATTTATCCTGGGCTATCACAACAAAACATAATTGCAATGAACCAAAGCTACAGCACAAAACACCAAGTGCTGTCATTCATATCCTTGACATGAGATTTAAAAACACTGACATTAATGATTACATTAAAACTTCAAATATAATGTATATATAAAAATCATAACCGTACAATATTGCAGTTTTGTTTCAATACAGGATGTTTTAAATCACAAAACCAAGTTAAGGATGAATGGTTGTCAAAACATCAGCTGCCAAACTTGTGATCAACCTGTGAAATTAGATGTTAGTTAGGCGGTCGAGTTGTACAGCCAGGCTAGATGGAATATCACTCGTCGTAACTTGGGCATCGCACTTGAACACTTTTTGAAGCTCAACTTCAATGCGTGTCCTGCATGTGCGTGTGATCGTACCCGTCCCTTCTCCACACACTGGGTGAGCATAACGATGACGCGAACATTCTGCTCCCAGACCAGGCGCCAGAAGTCAGCTTGGGTGTTGGGTAAGGGTCCCTGTGTGGCTATGAACTCCCGTATCCAGTTTTGGCCCTGCAAAATGACAAGACAGGTCTTTAAATATAACTATTTACAGATTCATCATTTATTTGTATTCCCTCCACATTTAGAGACATGAGTCTAGATTATTTTTCTGCTGTGGATTTTCATGTGATAAGCCACTTCGTTGAGCTATCATTTGTGGCTATGTTGCTTCTAAAAAAGAGCTGTGATATACAGTGAGGAAAAAAAGTATTTGATCCCCTGCTGATTTTGTACGTTTGCCCACTGATAAAGAAATGATCAGTCTATAATTGTAATGGTAGGTTTATTTGAACAGTGACAGACAGAATAACAACAACAAATCCAGAAAAACGTGTGTCAAAAATGTTATAAATTGATTTACTTTTAAATGGGGGAAATAAGTATTTGACCCCTCTGCAAAACATGACTTAGTACTTGGTGGCAAAACCCTTGTTGGCAATCACAGAGGTCAGACGTTTCTTGTAGTTGGCCACCAAGTTTTCACACATCTCAGGAGGGATTTTGTCCCACTCCTCTTTGCAGATCTTCTCCAAGTCATTAAGGTTTCGAGGCTGACCTCTGGCAACTCGAACCTTCAGCTCCTTCCACAGATTTTCTATGGCATTAAGGTCTGGAGACTGGCTAGGCCACTCCAGGACCTTAATGTGCTTGTTCTTGAGCCACTCCTTTGATGCCTTGGCCATGTGTTTTGGGTCATTGTCATGCTGGAATACCCATCCACAACCCATTTTCAATGCCCTGGCTGAGGGAAGGAGGTTCTCACCCAAGATTTGACGGTACATGGCCCCGTCCATCGTCCCTTTGATGCGGTGAAGTTGTCCTGTCCCCTTAGCAGAAAAACACCCCCAAAGCATAATGTTTCCACCTCCATGTTTGACAGTGGGAATGGTGTTCTTGGGGTCATAGGCAGCATTCCTCCTCCTCCAAACACGGCGAGTTGAGTTGATGCCAAAGAGCTCCATTTTGGTCTCATCTGACCACAACACTTTCACCCAGTTGTCCACTGAATCATTCAGATGTTCATTGGCAAACTTCAGATGGGCATGTATATCTGCTTTCTTGAGCAGGGGGACCTTGCGGGCGCTGCAGGATTTCAGTCCTTCACGGCATAGTGTGTTACCAATTGTTTTCTTGGTGACTATGGTCCCAGCTGCCTTGAGATCATTGACAAGATCCTGCCGTGTAGTTCTGGGCTAATTCCTCACCGTTCTCATGATCATTGCAACTCCACGAGGTGAGATCTTGCATGGAGCCCCAGGCCGAGGGAGATTGACAGTTCTTTTGTATTTCTTCCATTTGCGAATAATCACACCAACTGTTGTCACCTTCTCACCAAGCTGCTTGGCAATGGTCTTGTAGCCCATTCCAGCCTTGTGTAGGTCTACAATCTTGTCCCTGACATATTTGGAGAGCTCTTTGGTCTTGGCCATGGTGGAGAGTATGGAATCTGATTGATTGATTGCTTTTGTGCGCAGGTGTCTTTTATACAGGTAACAAGCTGAGATTAGGAGCACTCCCTTTAAGAGTGTGCTCCTAATCTCAGCTCGTTACCTGTATAAAAGACACCTGGGAGCCAGAAATCTTTCTGATTGAGAGGGGGTCAAATACTTATTTCCCTCATTAAAATGCAAATCAATTTATAACATTTTTGATATGCGTTTTTCTGGATTTTGTTGTTGTTATTCTGTCTCTCACTGTTCAAATAAACCTACCATTAAAATTATAGATTGATCATTTCTTTGTCAGTGGGCAAACGTACAAAATCAGCAGGGGATCAAATACTTTTTTTCCTCACTGTAGCTCAGTTGGCCTTACCTGGTAAGATAAAAAAAAATGTTTGGTTTTATTTGTATATAGTTTTCAATGATTGATTTACCTTTCCAATACTTGGCACTCCTATCGTGTTTTTGTATAGTTTGTTGTAATGTTCTTACCCGCCCCTACTGGACATGTGTGAAAAAGAGCTTTATAGCTCACCGGATTCCTCCAGTATAAATAAATATTCTGATTCTGACATAATGATCTGGCCAAATTTTGTTGCGTAACCCTCCACCACTTAACAGGACAACATTTTGGACGAATAATTTTGTGCTGCAGAATTGGCAGTGCAGCACAAGCAGAGTTAACAATCAACTCAAAAGGTTCGTCCATAAACACTCCCTTATATTAAACATACATGTAACAGGCCACGGGCAACAAGCTTCCTTCATAATGATTCACGTGCTGTAAAGAAGGGCCATTTCCCAAAACGTTGACGGTTATATATTTCATCTTAAGGCCGTGTTATTAACGAGTGCGGGAAAAAATTTGGCCAGATGACTACGATGCCGAACTCACAAATCTATTTTGAATCATATCAGCTGTGAAAACCGAATTATTAAGTTAAAATATAGTCGTAACCGAGTAACATTTTGTTTGAAAAACTATTTAGTATAAAACACATATCAAACCAAAGTAATTCATTTCATGAGAACACAACATATATATTGATATAAATATATACATTGTTTAGCACGGTTGGCTACGTACGGTGCAAAAGAAGTTCAACGTACATACATACGCAGACATTTATAAATATAGATTTAACCTTCAGGGGCACATAATCCAGTAGCAGTTTGTGCACATTACTCTGTATCATTCTAATCCCTTTGTGGGCCACATGGTCAAAACTACCATGCATAACGTCTAGGAAGGCGCTAAAAACCAGGCGTCGACAACCAGCGGCTCCGGAACCGCGTGCGCCCCTTTATAGGCTGCTTCCCGATGTAATGTACGCGATGTGCACATTCACGTCGCATTGCGGCTCTCGAAAGATTGAGCTTTGTTACCGAATTCGAAAAAAAAACGACTCTTTTTATACTCTTTGGTTCTATTGGGTAAAGTCACGTAGGTGAAAATGTTATTTTATTTTCACCTACGTGACTTTACCCAATAGAACCAAAGAGTATGGATCCTAGCAGTCACGAAAGCTTTAAATCTACGTCTCTTCTTGTTATCTTGGTCGCCGACCCTTATGCTAAAGCAATCGGGGCAGCTTCCCGCAATCCGTTCCCGGTGCCTTCGCTGCTTTCTCTGATAATTGAAATGCAGAGCACCGGGTGAGAACCACGTGGCAGGAATTCAGCAGAACTCGCTGCACAGGAGGACTGGAACTTGCACCACCAGCTCCAACAGTGCCCCGTTGCGGTCGGTACTTGCTAATGCACAAGACGTTCGGCTATTGAAACATTCGGGCAGTTTCTCCCTAATATTTGATGCTATTATGTGTTGATCAACAGGGTATATTTACCTCCAAGTCTTTACAAAAGAGTGTTGTCAACGTGTTGTTTTTTGTAAATTTCCAAGTGGAGGCGTTGGCGTTACAGCGCTCGATAATGACGGGACACATTTTCGAGTAGCTTTCGCTGGGTAGCAACCAGCTTGGCAACGGTGACATTAGCCGCTCAAAATAGCAAGCGCGTTCGTCTTTCAATGCACTTAGTAATCATTCAGGGACATCTGCTATCAACAGCGCTCATGTACAAACCACATTGCCATTTTCTCTGTGACTGCATGAAATGTGGCTCAAATTATTAAGATCAAATTGATCTACTATTAAAACACAAATATAGCATGAAACGTTGACTTCAGGGGCCGTCCATAAATGACGTCACGCACCTGGGGGGGGGGTCAGACATTTGTGACGATGTGTGCCGAGGGGGGGGGGGGTTTGAGAAATGTGACGTCACGTAAAAATGCGCAACGTTAAATAAATATAGACAAAACGTTCTACTTAATTAAATATACTTTATAATAAATGTTTTCTCCTACAACATCAGAGTGCAGCGCCACATTAAATACGCACTACAATGACAATAGTTTAAAGCGATTTGAAGCATGTGGTTTTTTTTTGGGGGGGGGGCAGAGCTTTGTGACGTCATATTTGAGGGGGGGTGACTTTTTGTGACGTCATGTGACGAAGGGGGGGGGTCAAAAATCGTCCAAAATCACGTGACGTCATTTATGGACGGCCCCTAAAACTTTCGTGACTGCAGGGAATTCATATTCTTTGGTTCTTTCGGTAAAGTCACGTAGGTATGAAAATAAAAATAAAGTGAATTAAACATTTTTTAAACAAAAACCACGGCGTTTTGATCGCAAAACAAGCGGTCGTCATCAGGAAAAGGGGGGAGGGGTTAGCCTCTAAAGGCAAACTGTTTATAATGTTTAGAGAAGGGCGTAGCCCAAGTGTGTCAGGAGCATGGGTCGGGCAGCTAATGTTCATGAAGGCCGGCAGTGGATCTGCACAAAAAGGGCCTCCAGGCAATCATTGCATCTCGCTCCACACATACAACACTGCTGACGGTGTTGAGTTTTGGTAAATTGTGCTTCTGTACCACTTCCAACACTGGACTGTATTTCGTACCATCGTGTTACTCAACTGTATGCAGTATGCTAAACAACGGTACGAGTTCTGGTAATGAAGAAAACTTTGACAGAGCGAGATTCATATGCAATTAATACAAAACAAACAACGGTAAATAGAGGAAATATATAAAAACATTTTCAATAGCCATCGATATTTTTTACCGAGAGGCAAAAAAAGAACAGAACGCCAATTAAAGACCAGGTGACAACATCGTTTGCAGAGAGCTCGGGCACTCACCGGAATGAAGTTGGCGTTGATGTAATCTGAGCCCTCTTGGCCTTCCAGCGCCATCAACTTCACGCGGCTCATGTCATCTGCAGCCGTCAAGAGTCGCGCAAGCAAACCGCGATCATTCCAACACAGAATTTGGTGATGCTGCTGCTGCTGCTACGGCAGCCGCGATGGTAGCAGTATTGCTGATGAGTGCAATTGCGTATAGGGTACGCACATCGCGAGGATAATGACGGCAGTTCATCACATGAGCTTTTAATGGCTGATCTAATTGTGACATAAATATCAAGCAACATCTCTTTCCTGATGCACTTAGGTAATGCTATTGCCGAGGGTATATTATATCGCAGGTCGTCAGGGTCGTGCCGGATAATGCAGTGCGGGGTGTGTGTGTGCTCTGGGAGCGTGTGGTCGCTTCAGAGTGTCGTACACGGCAAGATGTTGGAGTATCGATTTTTCTGGCGATTCACAGGTAGGCTGGCAGCATTGTGAGACATCTCCTGCCCAACCAACTTGAGATCCTAGGGGACAAGGGACAGGAAAAGGAGATGTGTCTTGTCATATTTACTGCCATAAAACATTTTTTTATCGGCGCAGACCTTAAAGAGTGGCACATGAGTGTGGGGGGAATGGTTTACAAACAACATTAGAACATGACATTCAAATATGCAGAGGTACATAGAAATGACCATACACTTCTGTACATACTCAGAAATATATAAATACATAAACATACTGCAATGCATTTACACATGTAGGCAAATCCAGAGAGGAAGTAAACATACTTTTATTAACCCCAAGGAATGATGGAATGATTGGCAACCCATTCAGGAGTTAAAACGTTTGAATTGTGAGTTGAGCATATTGCCGATTTAGAGGTATTTGTGGATTGGGCCTCCATCCGCTTCTCTGGAGGAATAAAAAAATAAATTGCTTCATGTATTGGGCGGATTCTCTTCTGGCAAATTCCTAATAATGCCAGAAGTTTCAATGAACATGAAAACAAACTCTCCATGAATTGTGCGCTGTGAGTGTGTGTGTTGGGAGCGGTAGTATAGCTGCGCTTTGAACCTGGTGACCCAAGTTTCATTCCTTGTCCTGGGGCCCCTCTACATTGATTCAGCCTCAAATTAGTACTTGGTGCAATGCGTAAACATTTAAATTCCAGAGATAAAGGCGGCCGGGCATGGTGCTGGTCACCCACCCCGTAGCGTGCCGTGTCGGCCTTCATCGGTACTCGCTTACAGCACTTGCCCCAAAATCCTGCGAAGGCTATATGGGGGATATTTGTCTTTGTTTTTTTGTGAGCGGGCAGGTGAATGGGCCGCGTAGCAGGCTGGTGGTGAGTAGTGAGGCCCTCGGACAGCAGAGCCCGGTGAATGTGGAACAGGCGGAGAGGCCGTGAGTGAGTAGATGACGGAGTCAACATCTCACTTGACACTCACGGGTATCAAGGGCAACTGTGTAGTGCAAACCTGCTGCTGCTGCTGCTGCAACACCTACGACACGACCATGGAGACGCTTGTGCTCATGCAATGCAACGGCGGTCATGAGTAGCTACAGCAACATCAAGTGGTCTGCAATAGCCACGGTGTTGATGATGCTCTTGTATGAATTACACAAATTGTATACATATTTTTTTAATGAAAATCGTGACCTCCAATTTCACAGCGTCGTGCGTTTTTTGTTTACCTCTGAGTACAATAGAGTCATATTAATTGCATTTATATTGTAATATTAATTAATATTTCTATTAATTATATATAAATGCGTGTATATATAAATTATATATTTACAGGAATGGGGCAACCAGTAAACATTACAAACCTCATATTCAAGGGAAAACTTGTAATCTGAGTCCTTGGACATTTCCTTGATGTACATTTCAAAGTCATCCAGTTGTACTGGCCTAAAAGTACAGCAGAAAACGATCAGTAGAATTCATCGTACCTCACTGCTGACCATGAACACGTATTGTGATTAATGTTTTTCTTAAATGGAGTTATTTCACTATCATGGAAGAGAGACCGAGGTGAACAGGCACAATTATGCGAGACATTTATTCTTTGAAAGCATCGCAAATTTCCAGGAACTGATTATATATCCTCGCATATTGGAATTATGAGAAGAAGATTTGGCGATGGAGTAAATACACATTTTTTTAATGTTTTTCAAATGCAATTAACAAACTATACGAATTGCAATTGAAATGTGCAAGCTTAAAAATTATTTCGATGTAGCGAGTTTGACTATTATTGTGTATTCATGTATATATTCATTTCGTTGTGACAATTTGCAAACATCAATCCACCGATAGAAAGTAAAACTCATCACTGTCAGCTTTGGTGTCACGTGGTTTCAAAAAGCACTCGACAAAAATATTCGGTTATATTTTGATTAATCACTTCAAAAACCCCAGATGGAAATGTTCACCGGGCTAGGCGGGACAACAACAATGCATGTGCCTCCCAATTAACATTTACAGTATTTGCATTTTAAAACAAAATTTACATTCGGACTTAACAAAATGTATAACCTCCAATAAAACATTTTTTGGGAAGACCTTGGTTCAAGTAGGGTGACGTTCAAACATTTTTCACGGCGGCTGTAGGTCACAAAAAAGCGGAAACCCTTTGTGTTTGGTCTATTGGAGTTATAAGCAAAGGCTCGAACACGTTCGTGCCAAATTTCAGCTGCACAGCCCTCCTATAACATCACTGGAATTTACATCCGGCACTCACACTTTACTCCCAACTGGCTGTGGTCATTAGATGGCAACAAAAGCAAGAAACATCAATGATCAATATGCAATGATCAAATTTAAGATGCATTTTTATCATCACCCTTTGTATTTTTAGGACAATTCAAACTGATAACTGCCTTTGTTGAGCTTGCAGAATGAAATCATGACAATTATTTAAAGTATATTGTCTATGTGGCATACCAGCAAACTTCACAGGAAGATGTAACCCATAACTAGGCCGTGTATCACAGTTTAAAGCTTCACTAATGAGAGCAAATAATTCAAAGTCATAGCTACATGACTTACAGTTACCCTGCCGTAGAAAGCTCTAATAAAGTCATAGCTATAGTAAAGTCATAGCTCTAGTAAAGCCATAGCTCTAGTAAAGTCATAGCTCTAGTAAAGCCATAGCCCTTGTAAAGTCATAGCTCTAGTAAAGTCATAGCTATAGTAAAGTCATAGCTCTAGTAAAGTCATAGCTCTAGTAAAGCCATAGCCCTTGTAAAGTCATAGCTCTAGTAAAGTCATAGCTATAGTAAAGCCATAGCTCTAGTAAAGTCATAGCTCTAGTAAAGTCATAACTCTAGTAAAGCCATAGCCCTTGTAAAGTCATAGCTCTAGTAAAGTCATAGCTCTAGTAAAGTCATAGCGCTAATAAAGTCATAGCTCTAGTAAAGCCATAGCTCTAGTAAAGTCATAGCTCTCGTAAAGTCATAGCTGGTGCTGATGCATGTCCATGAGGAGGAAGGCTGACATTGCATTGTGCGGGCTGATCCGTTCGCCTGTGGAAGTCGGTGAATGCTAGGAGGAATTTAAAATCCACAATAGTGGCTCTCCGCCCTGTAGCTTGGAGCTGGGGTTTGAGTGGTAAAGTTATTGAACATTTATACACCCAGAGTTAACATGCCAAATGCCATGCATATTCCTTGGTTCTTTTTGTAAAGTCACGTAGATAGAAAATATAAATAAAAAGCTAGAGCTATGGCTTTACTCGAGCTGTGGCTTTCAAATTATGAAGACCGCTTGTGTTGCGATCGAAACGTCGTGGGTTTTTTGCTTTCGTTTTAAAATCTATTTGTAATTTAATTATTTTATTTTATTTCTATCTACGTAACTTTACCGATAGAACCAAAGAATATGAATTCCTGCAGTCACGAAAGTTTTAAGTCAAAATTAAAATGCCATGCTTATCATTATGCTTTTTTACGTAATAACGTAGAACCTGGTTGCTCCATGGGTGGCATCTTCCTCGCACATTTGACACACCAAATCGTAAACTAAGGCCACTTTAAGCAGTGAAACATGCAAACTCAACATACATTATACCAATGAACACATAAATTACATTTCATGAGCAGTGTTCGTGTTATTTTGTTATTTAATGCCGCAATTTATGCAAAATTTACCATTTTATCTCCTCTGCCAAATACATATTGCTATAAATACACACACACACACGTATGAATGTTCTACCTACTTGGATAGTTTTTTCAATTGTCCTTGTTTTCTTGCCCTGCAATATAAAGATTGAAAATAAATTATGTACATTCCAAAATGTGACTCACAAAACAGCTTTCAGAGATGACTGATTTAGAAATGACACTGAAAATCCACACTGGCTTTTACCTACCAAGGGGCCATAAAGCTATTATCTGGCAGATGCCAGAATAATGAATAGACCCTTGTCCTTTCAAAAATGTTCACGGCTGGGTCTGGCAATGAAATATAATGTAAATGTTTCAATTTGTTTTTGAATATGTTCAATTTTGCATGAATAAGCCATGTAAAAAAAATATTGCTCTTCGGCACTTAAAACTATGTTATGAGTCGATTAGCTTTCCGCAGCATATACTGCAAAGTAATTATATTCTCGTATCCAATAAAAAACTAAAGAAATGTATGGATATTACGTGTAGATCCCATGAGATATGTTACATTACGTGATAAAAACAGCCTTGGCGTGTCTGTCCATTTGTGCCCCACTGAAGTATGAAGCGCGGCTGCTAAAGAGAAGTAGTCATCGCAACCAAGTAGTGACACAGCAGCCAATTGTATTTGTTTTATTTACAGGACATTTCTATTACGGAAAGATCATAGTTGTCACCAGCTTGACGAACGCAGTCAACACTCTCGCAGAATCTGTGCAAAAGTTCCTGTGCATGGCGGGGAGTCAGGGCAAGTCAGCGGCTCACAAGAACACCAATCTTATATTCTTGGCTCTTTCGGTAAAGTCACGTTGAAGGGAAAGAATAAAATAATAAATATATATAAAACAATAAAATTCTCATGACGTTTCGACTGCAACACAAGCAGTCATCATCAGGTGTGAAAACCAACGGCAAGAACATTTGAAAGAAGTGGCGGTTTGTATTTATTTATTTTTAAACGTTAGCACCACGGAGAGCGATTTGACAGTTTGTTTATAAGGACGAGTCCATCTATGTTTGGAAAAGAGGAGGGGGGAGACGAAAAATTAATGTATGCTGTCTGAAAGCCACCGTAAGCGTGAACAATCAATTAAGACCCGAAATGGTTTATCAAATCCTTCCAACGTCGTGAGAATTTTATCGTTTTATATATATTTTATTATTTTATTGTTTCCCTTCAACGTGACTTTACCGAAAGAACCAAGAATATGAAACACCAATCTTACTAAGGTGGCCCAAAACATCTGCGCCGGTGTCTGCGTTTTAGAGTTGGTGCCAATATATTTATCATGGGAAGGGTAATAACTCCTTATAGTTCATATTGTCACTCCTACGATGTGCATTCGTGCTCAGTTGTTAATTTTGTTAATAAGGCTAGTAGTCGGCCGAAAGAGTGTGTTTACATGTGATACCCTGCTGTGGAATAAAGATTACCCATTGAAAAAAAGAGCAAGATCTGTCAACGAGTAAAACATACTTTTGTTTTGAAAAAAAATGAATACATTTTTCTGTTGTGATGTTTACATCTTGTACTCTGATTCGTATGAATAGGCAACATGGTTAATGCAATTTAACCCCAGCTTGATGTAAAATGAGATAGGAAACCAGTGGCCTGGCTCGGATACTTGGCATGACACGCCATGAAATCTGCAGCAGACTACCGCACGATTTAGAGGCAAAAGAGTGATCTCATTCCAGGCATATATGGCCCGGTGATATGATCCCTATTAAATTGTCTGTATTGGTCATTTTTGGTATGACGGTGGGTATTAAAATCCACAGAATTCCACTGCTCCCCTCACCGCCACCACCATCCACTTGTGAAGCAGAGACTCAAATGGCCAGAAATGTTTGAACTGAAAAAGGAAAACACAATATCCGACGAAAGAGAGCAGAGGAGGCTTACTCACCAAGAGACAAATGGCGGCACGAGAAAATATCCCGTCCGCAGACAGGAAGGCAGAGAGGCAAGGAAAGCGGGCAGAGTTCGACACCTGAGCAGGAGCACAGAGAAGAGTGCGCTCACGACCGCTCGCACACCCCAACCCCCCCCCCCCCGTGCGCCGTCGCAAGGTGCATTCACGAACGACGGTGCCAACAAATATCGGCGCCAAGGGAAGTCACGAAACTGACCTTCGGAACGCGCTACCAAAATCTCCATCAATGGCAGCGAAATTCAGAAATGTTCCGCCCATGGCCTTGCTGGAGAAGATGATAAATTATACAAGATATTAAACGGCACTAAACTGTAAATCTTTCAAACTATTCAATAACATGCTGCTATAACCGCTTGAAATATTATTTAGAAATGTGTTTGTTCCTTGTACAACAATCATGGTTTAACACGGTAATTTTGTCTCGCCCTTTGTGCATCGCTAAGCATTGTGTTAAAATACAAAATAGGCTAGGTTATAGCATTTTGCAATAATTGTGGAAATGTTGTAACAAGTACATCTCAGGGATTTCTCACGTGGTTATATTAAAGGATGAGTGTGCATATGTAAATCTGTCATCCGGTCAGTCAGTTTATTTCTTGTAAGGCCCATTTAGCAAAAAATCTATTTTATAATGACGACCCAGCCAAAACGGCTGACACAGCAGAATGCACATGGGAAGAGAGGCTTTAAAAGAACAAAAGCAGGAACATACGGACACACCATGACCAGTATGGTGTAATGCATCTCACACATGCAAAAAATGTCGTGCCATATGCGTTATGAGTCCCAGGGGAGTCTGGCAGGAAGACTCAGGGAGCAACTGAGAAGTGGCACCATTCCAACCTCACTAAAAAAAGCCTCCTAACACATCATGTCCACCACAGGCCACGGCCTCTCTGATGGGAACACGTGGCTCCGTGGTCTAACTTCAAACAGCTGGGGCTGGAAGGGGCAACATTCGTCTTGAGGCTCAGGATCAGAATGCAAAACGTCTGCTAACTACACGTATAGGTGTTGCATTTATCGGGATTACCTATGCAGGTTGAGCACAAATCACTTACTCTATACTTGTGTGTGTGTCAGGGACACGTTACGGGTCACACATGCTGGGCATGTATTGTTTTGTGAACCAGTGTCTGTCTACACATTAGGCAAACAAAAACACTTTAAAAACGTCAGTGAACATTCTAAGTAGCACCCATTCACAATTTGAATGTTTTAATTGCAAATGTGTTTACGTACAACACAGGGTGATCCATTAAAACAGTGGTTCTTCTTAACATGGGGTGCACGCACCCCCTGGGGGTGCGAGATGCCCTTTCAAGGAGTGCGAGACATGGCCAGATTTTTTTAGAAGGTAAATCAACCGAAACGCAAATTAAGCACCGGCACGTAAGTACAACTACCTTGTTTCATCAAACCAATTTTTTTACGATTGAGAACAAACGGGGTGCATGGCTGCATTAAAACATTCCCTGGCTGATTTCTAAATGTCCCTGGCCTCGTGCAGTATATGGTTGCTTAACAAGAAACATCTGTGCGTTGAGTTGGTCTAGATGGAATGATTGCGTGACACAACTCCACTGGACCTGGAGATAACAATGACCTCAGCTCAAGTACCATTGAATGTTGTAAGCAAATCACACCAGCTATGGTTGCGCATAGTCTACATCAGGAGAGCGTTAACAGATTTAACAACGAACTGAGATCGGTACGAGATGTGGAGGCATTTGAAACCAAATGTAGTTCTCGCTATAATTTATCTCTGTTATTTTAGTGGAGGTACCTATAAACAGGCCACCATATATGCGAGCATCTCAACGTAATTGCCATTGAACTTCATCGAGTAAAAATAAAATAAACCGCAACTGATATTCTTTCCACAAACGTAGCTTCATCACCGACACAACGAATATCATCATTAGACCTCCTTTGCCAGTACCAAAATGGAATAATAGGGTTTTTCCCCTTTTTTTCTGGTAACAAAACTGAAACCTTTTTACAAGGATTCATGTCTGCATGAACCACAATACCTGCAGTCAAAAACATACATAGTATGTTTTTTGTTTGCATTTTGACTGCAGGTATTGTGGTTAATGCAGACATGAATCCTTGTAAAAAGGTTTCAGTTTTGTTGCCAGAAAAAAGGGGAAAAACCCTATTATTACAACGAACATCGTCCCCTTTAACTCGTTTCCGCGAAGCGATTTTGCATCAGGCGTCGCGCGAGAAGGTTCACGGCGACATTGGGCCGAGGCCAGCAAACAAGCGGAGTTGTTCTCACGCGCCACAATCGCAGTCTCCGTCCATCCCTGCCGGGAGAGGTCGCGCGCCTCACCTCTCGGCTCGCTGCTTGCGCCGGCGCAGCATCAGGTAGACGAGCGCCAGGGTCAGCAGCAGCGCCATGGACAGCACCAGCGGGATGGCCAGCACCAGGGTGTTCATCAGCAACGCTGCTCTCACACGCAGGGAGCATCCCCTTCACGCCGCGGCACGACGTCTGGGTGTCGTCTGGATCCCCCATTTAGCCACGGGCGACAGGATGCTGCCGTAGATGAGCTATTTAATCAAAAGCTATTGTTTTGTATTTTGCCAGGTCACGTCCACTGAGCTACGTAGCTCTTTTTTCAAGTAGCGATCAGGCCACAAATGATAGCTCAACGAAGTGGCTTATCATGTGGATATTTATAGCAGCCAAATACTCTCGTATATACAATCCACTGCTGGATAAGGGCCTGCCCGTGTCTTGAGGGACAATTGGCCATACTTCACCACGACGGTCAGTGCAAGTTGGTCAAGGTTGGAGGAGGCGTGCAGAGCAAGAATGGAGATTGCTGCACTACCCTCTACTGCCCTCTACTGCCCTCTACTGCCCTCTACTGCCCTCTACTGCCCTCTACTGCCCACAACACCTATAACATGTCTTTTGTGCGTGGCAGTCACCCATCCAAGCAGTATCCAGGCTTAACACTGCTTAGCTTCTGAGATATGATGAAATCAGGGGAATTCGGAGTGAATCGGTCTCTTTGTAATTTAAATGCAAATGTTGTACAACGTTTTGCACGTGTGCTGTTTAATTATGTAAAAAAATAAGCCCATTAGTGTTGTGTTAATTGTCAAAATCATTTTCCCAAAGCGAGTTAGAATTCCAGATAGCGGCTGACTCAGCCTCTCGCCCTTTCAGGACCAATATCACTTTTTTTAAATGCAGCCAAACGTTGTCATCATTTGGAAATGTTGGCCCCTGCTGTGACAACGTGGAATGTCCACCAATGGTTCAGGATCACCATTTGAGAGGAGGGTCACCCCACAGCTCGTTTGAATCAGAATCTTTATTTAGACTTGATGAATTCGATGAGCTATGAAGCTCTTTGTCACAGATTTCCAGATTTGGGAAAGAAGTCACTTTGACTTGAATTGACAAATACAATGTTTTAGATGACTTTGATATGCAACAGAAGTTAATTAAATTTTGATTTAAAGCTTTCGTGACTACAGTAATTCATATTCTTAGCTCTTTCGGTAAAGTCACGTTGAAGGGAAACAATAAAATAACAAAATATATATAAAACAATAAAAATTCTCACGACGTTTCGACCATAACACAAACGGTCGTCATCAGGTGTGTTGGTTTGCATAAATGTATTTATTTTTAAACGGTGTATTTATTTATTTATAAAAAACGTCAGCGCCACGCGCAGCGATTTGGCAGTTTATTTAGAAGAACTAGTCCATCTATGTTCTGAAAAGAGGAGGGGGGAGACGAAAAAATTAATGTATGCTGTCTGAAAGCCACTGTAAGCGTGAACAATCAATTAAGACCTGAAATGGTTTATCAAATCTTTCCAATGATTGCTAAGCCAGAATCCATCTTCTCGGTTGAAATTGTCTCTGTGCTTGTATATGTGGATAGCCTCATGAACGAATCTCTCAAATACACCGTTTAAAAATAAATAAATTTATGCAAACCGACACACCTGATGACGACCGTTTGTGTTATGGTCGAAACGTCGTGAGAATTTTTATTGTTTTATATATATTTTGTTATTTTATTGTTTCCCTTCAACGTGACTTTACCGAAAGAGCTAAGAATAGAAGTTAATTATTCGATTTTTGATGTATGTATGTTGAACTTCTTTCGCGCCGTACATAGCCAACCACGCTAATCAGATGTACGGAGGAAGTGCAACTAACTAAACAAAAAAAAGCAGTTCTAGCGAAATGAGTTTCCAATCTAGATTTAAATGTGCATATCTCCAATGGATTCCTAATATCGGAAGAGGGTTCCGGACGGCCGCAGAAGCGTGCCTGATAGCGCACAATGCAGTGACTGTTCGGTGGCTAGTCAAAAGCCACTGCGGGGATCACCGGCATTCGCATGATGATGGATGTTCCTTGAGGACAACACTGCCAAGGTAATAAGTACTACCAAGGTGGTTGGTGAACAGAGAAAACATCATCGACCTCCAGGGCTACGCGGTGACCGTAGATGAACGTGCCGCAGCGTGGGGCTACCGGCCTCTCTCTGGATGTGCTGTCAGCGCTAACCCCACATACATGTGAGGGTGCGAGGGGTTGGCTCATTATGTGAGGGTTGGTCACTAACCCGGAGTTGTGATGAGCAGGCTGCTTGGAGGGCTGGACAGTTGATGGCTGATGCTGACCAGGCTGATGTTGTAGCGCGTGTCTGCCGAGAGCCCGCTGATCGTCATGTGCTCCTCCTTGCTCAGCTGTTCCAGCTGCCAAGCAGACAGGTTTGTCTCTGTCACAATGCAGGCTTTCAATTGTACCTTTGTTTAAATGCCAGTTTACAAGTGTAATAAACGCCTTCCAAGACGATTCGTGCAGAGGGTGCTTTCGTTCTTTATTTCCCAACTGCAGTACAGCACATACCCCGCTCCTTCTCTCTCCGAATATTCTGCCGGATGACAATGCCCTTAGACAACGCATATCTCCGATCCGCTGGAAGAGTCCGCCCTCCTCTCTCGGCCTCGCCGCCGGCTGGCGGCGTGCCGGAGGGGAGTGGCGAGCTCCGCTGGGGATCCGCCACGTGGTCGGGTGGCGAAGAGAGGAGACGACGACCAGCGACGTAGTTGGACCCAAGGCTCCCCACACCGACCACGAGTCCTCCTCCGCCCCTGCTTATATTCCGCCAGGCGCAGCTAGGCTCCGCCTATGTCCACGCCCTCTCATGGAATCTTCTTGATGGTTCCCGAAGCATCTCTCCCGACTCCGCCCATCAACTTTGGCCCAGACACTGTTCCCTCTTAGGATTGGATGGTTTTACATAATGGTGCTTGTACCGAGTTGCCCTTTCACAACCAAGAGATGGTGCTCTCTCATTACATCACCCCCCCCCCCCCCGTAATAAAAGACTAGCGAACAAGGGAAAACTCGTGGTGTGCGTTCGGAGGAATGAGCTCCAGGAGGAATAAGAATCCGACAAGACGCGCAACCAATAACAAGGGGACATGGGGTAAAGGGACCAAACCAACAATGTGAAAAAAATAACAAGAAGACCAACACGGTTAACGCCAATGAAATCGCAACGTCTTGGAACGAGTCCGTGACGCCGGACCGTCGACGGCAGCGGCGTCCTGCTCCAACCCGGTCGGCACGTGACTCTACAATGTTCACTGTGTCATGCAGGTGGGACTGAGCACTCACCTTGATGTGTTGCTCGGAATCCAGACTGGTGTAGGTCACAAGGTAGTAGTCTACCAGCCCCTCGCAGCTCCACGCAAGGCTCACGGAAGTCTGCGTCACGTTCAGGATGTTGACCGCCCTGGGGGAATCTGGGCCTGCGGAGGGAGGAGACGGAATGCCGCTACAGCCCAGCCAACACAGCCAGCCCGGCCAACCCAGCCAACACGGCCACCTCGGCCAACACGGCCACCTCGGCCAGCTCGGCAAGCCCGGCTAGTCCGGTCAGCCCGGCAAACTCGGCCAGCCCGGCCAGCCCAGCCAACACAGCGAGCTCAGCCAACCCAGCCAGCCCAGCAGCAACTCCCACACTCTATACTCTCCTCACAGCGCACACGCTGCCTTCATAAGCGGCTTCATGAATTAGACAGCAGCGTAACATTTGGTAAGTTGTGATATTTAGTTATTGGTGTTTCGACGTTTAAACCATAAAGTGTTGACACTGCTGCTTTGTAAAATATACCTTTGAGCGAAGCACAATGAATAAATATGTAATCATCGGAATAATAATTCGCGTAGTTGTGGAGAATATAAATAACCAAATAAATAAGCGGGCAATGTATCATATTATCTGCTTATTTATTCAGATATAGTTTCATAGTTTTCATTTATTTGGTATAGCCCTGTGAGCCATTCGGCTCTTGAATCAGGTGCAACCACAACAAACAAAAAACAAAAACATGAACAAGAAAACATCATAAAGTGACTATGTGACTGTGCAAACAGAAAATCCATGAAAAAACATCAAAATATTTCTGAAATAGCACCGTACACCAACGCTGTGTGCAAAAATCCCAGTGGGATGCAAGTCAAACAACAACAACAAGAAAACTTAGATTAAGGCCATCAGTCTAACTCCGTAATACAATAAACAAAAACATGGCCAAACCAAAAAAACTTTTAGAAATCACCAAAATAAAGCCAAAAATGCAATGTAACAGTGATCATAGGAACTGTGACCGAATTTTTTACAATAAACTACATAAATAACATGTAACACCCTAGAGCCACAGCTGGCTGCATGAGTCACTCCACAAACAACATGAGCATCAATCGGAGTATCACATTTTTGAATGCACCTTTAAGATCAGCACACTAAATCAAAATACAGATAATACTTTGCAGCGGTCATCCAGAGCGAAACATTTTATTTTATTTTAGGCCACTGAATAGCAGTGGCAGCTAGGGGTGTACAACTCCTCTAGAGCAGTTTTGACTGAAGATCTCATAGATAGTGATTCAAGTTGAAGTTTATTGGCAATAGCATTCCAGACCCTGGGGGCATCAATAGCAAAGGCCCTTCCTCCGTTTTTTGTACGGCAATAGGGAATGTGAAGCTGGTAGATGAGTGAAGACCTGAGGTAAAATTTGTTCTTTGAAACAGAGCGGAGATCCAGCAGGTAGTCTGCGGATTTTTTTGTAAGTACATCGTGAATAAATAAGATCTGGTGTACAAGCCGTCGAACATTAAGAGATGTTAAGTTTGACCCAATGTAGAGATCACAGTGGTGAGTCCTATATGGGCAGTTCAATGCAAATCTTAAGGCCGAGTGATTATTAACTAGGGTTGCTCTGATACCATTATAATGATGTGGCAATGTATTATTGCAATATCTATTTCCCATTACTCTGTTAATGTAATTCTAAATATTATTGTATTGATTTGTGCTTTGCTGTGCTTCTAGTATAATGATAGTAAGCAAAACTTCTTTCAGCTTCAGGTCATTCATCATAAGCCTGCCATGAATCTTATAACCATGACACATGCTGTTGGTTTACACAAGAAAATACAACAATTACATCATCTATCACTATGCCTTTAATAACTCCGAAAATAGATAATAGCTATTTATTTACAACTTTAACTACTGTGTTAGCAAGGTAACAAATATTTTGGCATGAAAATAAACATTATTTATTTAAATGAAATAAACAATTAGCAGTATTTTGAAAAAACAATGTAATTATCGTGGGTCTTATATCGTATGATATATCTGAGTTAACATTGCATTAATCATAGCAACAACAACAACAACATGGTTTTAAAGCATATCCAAAATCATATTCGCTCATCTCGCTATTGTGTGCAAATTTCAGCCATTGGTGCGCTGCAAAGCGTAGAATGTACGATTTTCAGAAATAGCCAAAATGTCATTTATTGAGGACATGGAATTTGTAACATGAAATGTTGATTTGAAAACAAATGTCCGAGTAAAGTGGCTCTCAGAGCTGGTAATTGCAATCTGCCCCAGTCCAGCTGTTTCACGTTCGCCAATGAGATGAGACCACGTACCGACATGTGAACTAATAACGTGAATTCAAAATCAGGAGAATCAGTCGTGTTTTTCCCACAGTGTAAAGCTCGTAGGACAACGAAGCTCGTTCTCAAAGCCCACTCGGCCGGAAGACAACCCCAAAGCATTCCACAATTACAGATTTAAAAAAATATAAACAAACAAACACACTTAATACGAGCAATTATGTTGTAAAATTACATTCACACTTAAACGTGTAGTGATTTTTAATAACAGAGTAATTTTAAATGAGGGTGCAGATGGCAGAATGGAGATGCCAAGAGATTAATCTGGGTGGTTCCAATCACTTTGGGAGCAGACACGTTCATGCTTCTGATCCAAATTGTGTGTGCGAAATCCGGGAACTTATTAACAATCAGACAAGCGTCGCAGATCGTTAGGATTGTCCAATGGTAAAAACAAAAACCAGGTCGGACAATGAAAGAGTATATCTGCGGTGATGACAATCTCCTGGCAGATGTGGGTGCTGGGCCGTGGGTGTGCGAGGGCGGTGCTCACGAGCAAACACGGAGGTGGAGGAGGTCGGTCCCCTGGATAGATTATCGCTACGTTGATCAGCAACAGCAGCAGCAACGACAACAAAAACTTCCAACGTCATCCTCATTTGCAAGCTGCCCCTGAGAAGCACGTGGTCTATTCGGAACACTTCTTCGTAAAGCTTCTTCAGGTGACATTTGCCATTTGTATTTTTAACTAACTGCAACAAAATGTCCATCAACACAGGAGTTTACATGTTTTAAAATAATATAACCCGCACTCAAATACTTGTCAATGAGCGGCAATTCAAATGCCATTGATTCATAATTGAGTGTTTTGTTTTTTTAGCAAAGTTGTGCAAGAGACATGTTGATTGACGGCCGTCCATTATGATGAACCTTTGTGTTCACTCCCCCCCCCCCCCCGCGGGGGCCCATCCACGCATTTGAGGCCAAGCGCTACTCACTGGTGCTGATGACGTGATGCGCAGAGACGTTGTGCCTGTGCTGGGTAAAGGCCACAACCGAGATGTTGTACAAGTCTCCCGGCGTGACGAGGACGCTGGCCTCCATGACCTTCCTCTCCACCTGCGCACGGGCCACGACACGGCGCTCCCCAGCTGTAAAACATTTCTACGACTTCCAACTATTCACGGACCTCAAGCATTCAAACATTTTTTAGAGCGCAAAACATTCGTCAATGCCCCGAACCCGATTGTTCCCCTCTGCCCATGATAGGGCAGTGAGCCTGAGTGCTCTCATAATAAAACGTTATTTTAGGTTAGATCGCGTGAGTATAAATGTGTCATTAACCCACCACCACCCGACACAGTCAATTTGTCACACAAACAAAACATGCCAATTAGCGACTACTTCAGCACACCGGTGTTTTGGAGAGTAAACCCACAACATTTAGAAATTTGAATGTGACGTTTCCCTGGTAACGACAACCAGCTTCATCGGGTGAATTGTGCCGGAATTGTTCAGGAACAATTTGAATAACATTTTAACACGTAGGCTTTCACGACCAATATCATCCATAATATAGGTTTTTGGGTCAGATCGCGTAAAAACGTCATACTCTTTGGTTCTATTGTTATTTTATTTTCACCTACGTGACTTTACCCAATAGAACCAAAGAGTATGGATCCTAGCAGTCACGAAAGCTTTAAATCTAAAAACGTCGTACTCAGATTGTAAATGTTGTGGCTTGGCTCTCCAACAAACCGGTGTGCTATACTAGTGACGAATTGGCACGTTCTGTTTACGTGACAATCCTTATGAGTTGGCTGTGTCGGGTGGTGGCAGGTTTTAACGACACATTTATATATTTACGCGATCTAACCCAAAAACCTATATTATCGAATAACATTGGTCGCGAAAGCCGACGTGTTAAACGGAGTGTTCTCTTCCGTTCTCCAATCGCGAGGGCGTACTAACGCGTTATGTCAACCGTTTGTTTATTCTACGATGTCTCGCCCTTCCTCTGCTATTCCTTCTGTCCCCTTGGCTCTTGACCAACAATTGTTTACAACACAAGAAAAATATTCGTTAATTCAGACTCCCTGAAAATGGACAAATATATCCTAAAAACTAAACTAAACCATTTTGTTATTTAACCGGGTAATGCTCACTGAAGCAATATACCTCATTTTCAGAAGCAACCTGGCCACAAATGTATGTGTGTTGAACTTATTTCACACCTTACATAGCCAACCGTGATAACTCAACGAAGTGGCTCATCATGTGTAAATTAACATCAGCCAAATACTCTAATCACATGTTTATAAATGTGGAGGGAAAAACCCGAGGACCCGGAGAAAATCCACGCAACCACGGGGAGAACATGCAAACTCCAAATATACAGACATTAGGGTCGGGATCAAACCCACGGTCTCCTGTATATCAGGCGAGGTAGTTAACATCTCGCCACCGTGGTGTCCACGACAACATAAATAAACGCATAAACTGTTTTGAAAAAACCATAGCTTTTACAAAAGTACTGTATTTGGAGAAAACACTAAAAGTAAGTAAAATATGGTTGATAGATTTCAACATCATTGGTGAGACTTATTGCAGTGGAGGTTGGATATATCAGCACATGTGTAGTGGCATCGGTGGACGCCGGCCTGTGTGAGGCGAGACACGCCGAGCCGCTCACGCCGCCAACAGCGGTGCAGGAGGAGCGCAGTACCGGGCCTAGCAAGGGCCGGCAGAGATCGTCGATGGAGAGCGCTGCACTCTGCGTGCAGTCTCTGAAGGGTAGGGGGCCCTGGGGCTGAGGACGAGACCCCTCTAAAAAGCCCGAGAAGGGAGGCGTGGAAAGGGGTGTACGGAGCTCCCTGGGACCCCCGAACAGGTTAGGGGGGCTGCCGACGAGGAGAAGACGGAGGCCGTCATGCCGGGAGAAGACCTGCCGATAGACGAGACCCCGGACCCAAGGCAGGGTCCGGTCGTGGCTAGCTACCCTGTGCAGCTAGGGAGGATTAGCCCGGAGGAGATACCTCCCTAGGGCAGCTCTACTCTTTCGTGTGTATTAGGGGAAGTTGTAATAAACATGTTGCCTCCACGCCGTCTCCAAGTGTCTCTAAGCTGGACACTACACGGTTCTGATATAATCCAAGGGGAACTTGGCTTATATCAGCACACCTGGCTTGCTCGCAAGGGGTTTGCTTCTATAGGTCTTCTATTGTATTTCCTTAAAAATACATCTATATATGATTAAGCACCATAACATATTTCCAAGAATACAATGTCCAATCGTAAATAAGTAAGGATATTTGTGCGTATTATGTATTATGACGTATTGTATTGTTTATACAGCCAACAGAATATGTCATTTAAAACACTTATGTGAGGAGGAATTCCAAAGGGAAGCGTGGTGACCTGCAGTGGGGTGAGTGGGTGGTGAATGGGTGGGTAGCTGAGTGCATTGTTGTGACCTGCAGTGTGGTGAGTGGGTGGGTGGGTGGCTGAGTGCATTGTTGTGACCTGCAGTGAGGTGAGTGGGTGAGTGGGTAGCTAAGTGCATTGTTGTGACCTGCAGTGTGGTGAGTGGGTGGGTGGGTGGCTGAGTGCATTGTTGTGATCTGTAACGTACAGTAACGGTTTAACACATTACGGATGAAATGAAACAGTCAGGATAAATAAGAACAGCATCCATGGCAGTAGCGACAGACGAGTGACAGGGAGGCTCGCGTACCGCCAGTGAACGAAGAAAAACAACATCGGCAACAGCGGCGATGCACGCAACAACAAAAACCAAACGTACAAAAGGGCGTCCCGAATACGAGATGTGCTCACGTCCTTCTTGTAGACGCGGAGTCCCGACACGACGAGCTCCCAGCGCAGCAGGCGAGAGTGCGCGGAGGAGACGCCGGGGTGGCGGTAGCGCCAGCGCACCCGCAGCACTCGCCGCTCCTCGTATGCCACCTCCACGATCTCGGGAGACAGCGGCGCTGCGCGGGAGGCGCGAAGAGACACGCGGCGGCGGTGGTGGGAGGGGGGAGAGGCACTCAACTATTAGGAAAGCACCGGGAGCTGTGAACTTTTAAATCATGTGGATTGAAAACTGCTTTTTGTGTTTAGTTTTTGTCCCCCCCCCCCTCTCCCCCCACACCTCCGATTAAGTATGGTCGGTGCGAAATTAAACATCATACATACATACAACTATCGCAAAGGGTTACAGTTCATAATGTGCAGCATACGTCATTCCAAGTTTGAAACGCCAACATTTTCTGCGATAGGTTGTCTGAAATAATTAATTAATGCATTATGTAAGTTGAAGCATCTAATTGATTTCATTATCTCTAAGTTATCAACACTCATAACGACAATCATTTTATCAAGAACATATAAATGTTATTTTTTCATGAAATCATATATACTTTCTTATTTTTTTAATATATATTTGTATACATGTGTTTGTTTTGTATTTGTTTTCCCATTATGGTTTTACCGCGTGTAATTTCACCACGGTCGTGACAGTACTGTTGTACAGCTCAGATGCACAGCCATTATTTGGGCACAACTAGAGATCAAAGCTCAAGAGCCTACATGCCAAGATAAGCATTCAGCATTGCTCATTACCATTGTAAATCTTGAGCTTCGGAGGTGAACATTACTTATTCATACGGCTGGAACCATTCTTCTCTGGAGGAAAACCATGGATTACCCGCCGAGTGCCTTTCATCCAGAAGGTTGTATTTGTGACACCCTCTGCACCGATGTGATGAGGCTCTCATCCAAGTGCGCGAACCAAGCCACAATTCTGTTTTTTGCTGCCAAGATCTGACCCGGAAGAATCGTAGATTTGTAAATGTATGTCCGTATAATATTTGCGTGTACGTATCACTGCGACAGCCTGAGAAACCCTTGCAATCGTGGGATATTCCTCATCGAGGGATATTATCCAGGGTAAAACTTTTAATTGAAAATATATATACGGTACATTCATAATGGTTCGATCATGAGCAATAAAACGAGGGCCGCACTGTGGGGAATCCGCCGTGAGGAGTTCACACCACTGCCTGGGATACCTGTGGAGATGAGCACCACCGTAATTACTTTATGAGCGTGGAAAGACCGTGACACCGACGTGGTGGCGAGATATTAACTACTTCGCCTGGTATACAGGATGTTATGGGTTCGATCCCGGCCCTGAAGCTTGTTGTATATTTGGAGTTTTCATGTTCTACCCTTGGTCGCATGGATTATTCTCAGGGCCCTCTGGGTTTTCCTTCCACATTTAGAATCAACATGCGTTTCGAGTATTTGGCTGCTATAAATTTCTACGTGATTAGTCACTTCGTTGAGCTATCATTTGTGGCCAGGTCGCTTCTAAAAAAATAGCTATATAGCTCAGTGGGCCTTACCTGGTAAAATAGCAATAGTTTGTAGTAGTTTTTAGCTCAGTGTATTTTATGGACTGCGTTTGGCTGCTGTGGTTTACTCACACGTGACATGAATAAGAGATGAATCTGGACAGCAAACACGTGCCGTGGAATTTTCTCCACTCTGCATCATGACTCTAATGACATATTCCCAAGCAGGGATCAGATCTTCGAGCTCCTGGAAACACAAGCAGAGATGGGGACAAGCAGGTTAATAGAGAATTGGACATTATCTGTGTATGCAAAGTATTGGAGATAATGCATCACTTTCCACAATGCACGTAAGCCAAAAATTCTCATCGCAGTCACAGAAGGCACGGCGTGGATCACAGCAATCTATTTTTTTTCAATACAATTGAATGATCCTGAGGCTGTCACAGAATCCATTTCGCCTTGAATGGAGATGCAGGAATTACCATTTATATGTTTGCAGAATCCACATGTAATTCATAAGCTGTTAGATAATTCTCATTTCATTGGCGCGATTCCTAAAGGTCAAAAGTCGCCCCCCTTCCCTCGTATAGCCATAAACAGGCTGTCGGGGAAAAGTGCCAACACGGCACACGAGTGCTTACACACTGCACCAGGTACTCGCTGAAGGCTGAGTTGACCTAGGGGAGGCACACGAGTGCTTACACACTGCACCAGGTACTCGCTGAAGGCTGAGTCGACCTAGGGGAGGCACACGAGTGCTTACACACTGCACCAGGTACTCGCTGAAGGCTGAGTCGACCTAGGGGAGGCACACGAGTGCTTACACACTGCACCAGGTACTCGCTGAAGGCTGAGTCGACCTAGGGGAGGCACACGAGTGCTTGCACACTGCACCAGGTACTCGCTGAAGGCTGAGTCGACCTAGGGGAGGCACACGAGTGCTTGCACACTGCACCAGGTACTCGCTGAAGGCTGAGTCGACCTAGGGGAGGCACACGAGTGCTAATGCTTACACACTGCACCAGGTACTCGCTGAAGGCTGAGTCGACCTAGGGGAGGCACAAAACCGGTTTAGATATTCATAAACTCTGGTCAACTGGGTGCATGGTGTATCGCGTTAACCGCTTCACTACCGCTCCCCACCGATTACCATTTATATCCGCCAGTGATTCCCATTGCTATCTTTAACACATGCTGCTGGATAACATGGGTCTGCAAAGCCAACATGTCGATGGACTAAAGTCTAATTTAATTTATCTGTGGAGACCCAAAACGGAGCTATGTTTATGCACGCTGTGACCCATAATGCTCCGCAGCACTGCGACGTCAGTGTTTACGTGCCTCAGCAGCGCTCCCGCTAGAAGTTTCTTTTTCCTGCCTCAGTAGCTCTCCCGCTATTTTTTCACCTGATGGCGATTGCTTGTGTTGCGATCGAAACGCCGTGAAATTTTATCATTTTTTTTTCTATCTACGTAGCTTTACCGAAAGACCCAAAGAATATGAATTCCTGCAGTCATGAAAGCTTTAAGTGAAGATGTATCCCTGTATCTGTTCCTGTCTGTCTTTGCTTTTGCTTCCCTGCATTTGTCCCTGTTAATTTTTGTTGTATGTTGAACTTCTTTCGCGCCGTACGTAGCCAACCGTGCCAGTCGGAGGTGCGGGTGAAGGACAGCAAACTAAACACAAAAAGCAGTTCTAGATAAATTAGTTTTCAATTTTGATTTGAAAGTGCATAGCTTCAATGACTTCCTAATGTCGGAAAGAAGAGTGTTCCAGACGTCCGCAGAAGCGCATGTGAAAGCGCGCGATGCAGTGACCGTCTTTGTTCGATGGCGAGCCAAAAGCCGCTGCTAGGATGACCGGAGTTCGTGTGATGGTTTATGCTCCTTGACGAGATCAGCAAGGTATTGAGGCTCATTCGTGGCAAGCACTCTGTGTGCAATGAGTGCGACCATGTAATGTATTGTAATATAAATTAATGGATATTATCTGTGAATGTTAGTGATTCAATGTGGCAGTCGTATGTCTCTTTGTGTGTGTGTGTGTGCGTATCCCTCTTTCTGTGAGCCCCCGACTCCCCCTGGTTATCTCTGTGCCCTCGTGTCCACACGAATGCGACTTGGCATCTTCACATTCCTCTCTGTCACTAGATCTTCCAACACCTCTCTCTCTCTTTTGTGTCACTAGCCATCATTTTCCAATAATTTCTGTCTCAAAAGTTAAAACATGAACAATTTAAATTAACACGTTAGCATTCAATGATTTAAATGTGATTAAAACAATACTTAGGAATGCACTTTCGATATACATTTAATGTTATACTTTCATGAAAGGTTAAAGGGATCGTTTAAAACACGAATATAGTCAAACAATTAAACTTATATAGTGTATTTTACAACACGTCATCGCAGGGTGAATTTTTATCTAAGCAAATACAACAACAAAAAACAATCCTTACGACCGCCACCGATAGCTCACCAGTGTGGTTTGCCCCTTGGTGGTGTTTTCCGCGATGTCTATTTGCCTCATGATGGACTCTTGTTGGTGCAGGTCAAAGTAAAACAGCTGGACGACGTATCTGGTGAAGAACACCACCTGAGGGATCTTCCATGACAGCTTCACAGTGAAGGGGTCCAAGCCTTCCGCCTCCAGTTCCTTTACTCCTGTTGGCACTTTGAAAATATATATTTTTAACTGCCTGAAATGTACAATTCAAGCATTCTAACAGCAGACTCAACGTTGAGCGTTAAAAGCGGGCACGGCTCTGAAGGAGAAGCATCGAAGTGTCCGGCCAGTTAGTTTGTCGTTGCTCACACGAAACACATACTTTCTGACAAAAGTTCAGAAAACATGGCCACAATCAACTTGAAAGTGAAGCCCAACATTATAGTCATAACAAAAAAAATCCTGACAGCAGTTGTAATGCGCATGTGATATCTCTGCTGTATACTTCTACTTGCTCAGGTGAACCGTGTATGTATGATTGATGAACTTATTTTTCACTGTACGTAGCCAACTGTGTCAATGTTCGAGAGAAATGCGTTTATAATAATACAGGGTGGCCCATAAGTATGGAATCATATGGAAAAATAACGAATTCATATTTTGTTGTTTCTGCATGCACAAGATGTCTCTGAGTAAAGGAAGAACGAGTCCAGACAAATCTCCACGTAGGAAATCAGAGTCAGAGGGAGGTCGCTGTTGAATTTAACAGACTGCATCCAGATCGCGAACCAATAACACGGAGCTGTGTTTTTCAGACTTATGGGACACCCTGTAGGTGATTTAAAAGCGCATAGCTCTAGCGGTTTCCTAAGATCGGAAGGAAGAAGGTTCCAGACGGCCGCGGCAGTGCATCTGAAAGCACACAATGCCAGTGGCCGTCTTTGTTTGATGGCGAGCCAAAAAGCCGCTGCCAGCGATTCCCATTGATAGCCGAGCTGCAGGCTTCCTGGGGACTACCAGCATTATTCAAGGTAAACGTTTATTTTGTGTGACTGGGTGAGAACTCTAGTGACCAGGAGTCTCGTTTACGAGAGTGGCCTGGGTCACCAACATGATAAAAGAAAAACAAATAAGTATTCAGCAAAAAAAACCATCGCATCTTTCACATGGGAACTGAAAATATTGAAACGTTATTTCTTGCAGTGCAAATCGGCTTGGACAGATCATCTCAAGATTGGTCACAGCTCGGTACAATACTCAGCTAGAGAAACGTTATCGTTAAGCAAATATACATTTTCGGTGACTACAGCACCAATATGTAAAACAAACAAGGACAGATGTCGAACGCAAATGGCAAGTGAGGTATGTGAAATGCAATAGCGTTAACAGCATTGCTCTTGGAAATGCATGCTCTTTCAAATATTATATTACACGAATATAGATTACACGATACTCTGGGGTAGTGGTACAGGGGTCTCATCTGAAGCCAAGGGCTACGCTCATCACTGTGTGCTGTGTCTGCATAAAGACTTTTATCCAGGGACACGCAAGAGCCAGTAGGATTAGTAATGTTTTTTTTGTAATTGCTTGCATAACTCTATTACCTATACCAAGAAAGGACGTAACCAAGGCCATTACTAATAGTCTAAAATAAATATAAAAATTGTCAAAAATTTAATTAATTAGAGAAAAATATCCACATATTTGGGGAAAAAAACTGTCCGGATAAAGCAGATCCTTGAAAATTCAAGCCCCTTCTGTGCACCAAGCCAACAGCCAGATCATACGTGCTTTAGTATATCGTTTATAATCGTAAGATAAGTCATATATTAAATGTGAACGTGGATGGACATGATTTAAGGTACAAGTTTGAGTAGGATGACTATGTATGTTGAACTTCGTTTGCACAGTACGTAGAAAACCATGCTAATTGGAGGTGCGGGCTAAAACTGCAATGTATATATATAATACAAAAACTTACAGCCCTTTGTCAATTCACTGCTGGATGAAGGCCTCCTTATCCCATGTCAATTTTTTTTTTTACCAAAATTCACCACGCTGATCAGCGTGTGTTGGTGAAATGGCTTAAATACCACCGATTTTAGCTGTGAATTGAACTACTGCACACATACTTGAATAATCACATCCATGATTTCTCATCCATACTGTAACGAGCTCCGTTATATGACGATCTTCAAGTTATTTCACTGATTCATCCCTGAATCAGATCAAATTCATATCTTGAAAATGATTTTCCACATTGTGCATACCTATCTCACCTTGAGTCATCTGTGGTGCCGCATACAAGTGTCGGCGCCACGGTGGCGAGATGTTAACTACCTCGCCTGGTAAAACAGGAATTCGTGGTTTCGATTCTGACCCTGACGCCTGCTTTATATTTGAAGTTTGCATGTTCTCCCCATGGTCGTGTGAATTTTTCCCCGGGTCCTCCGGTTTTCCCCTCCACATTTTAGAATCAACAGATGTGAGTGTAAAGGCGATCGGTATTACCTTGGTGTCGCAGCATCTCTTCAGAAAAGTGAGCGACTTGATCTTTTAACAGATACTGAGACAAGAAGGCTAATTTGATCGGGTCGCTCACTTTTGTGAAGAGATGACACGACACTAAGGTAATACCGATCGCCTTTACACTCACATCTGCTGCTGTAACTTCTCCTAATACTAAACGGATCTTGTTCAGGGCTGGCCTAGCCCTGATCTCAGAGAGAATAACATTGCTCCGATTTACACCGAGCTTACATTTACAAGCAAATTTTCTCTCCCCAACTCGCTCTCTCATACTCGCTCCAATATTAACATTAGCTGCCCCACCCATCTCTAAACCTTTATAAACAGCGCGCCTCAACAGATTTCCCCCTCTTTTTCACCTGAAGACGATTGCTTGTGTGGCGATCGAAAAGTCGTGATTTTATTATTTTATAATTTTTCTATCTACGTGACTTTACCGAAAAACCCAAAGAGTACTAATACTATGTTACAGCCCTTTGTCAATACCGTCACGGAGGGGTGGAGGAGTTGGGGGTTGACCATACTTCACCACACTAGTCATTGCAGTTTGAAGAGGGGCCCAGGTCAGATTGCGATGTCACTTAGCCACTGATGGTAACTGTGGGCCTGCTAAGGGTTCAGAGTTCAGGGTTCTGACCACTGCACAACCCATGCATGTATTGTCAACTTTATGATTTTAAAGACCGTAATCGCCAAACATTTTACCGAATTTCATTTTTCCTCCCCCGACTTTATTTGAGGGTTATGCCTTACATTAACGATTGCAAAATAGAACTAAATAATTTTTATTTTATCGGGTAAGGCCCACTGAGCTATGTGGCTTTTTGTCAGCAGCGACCTGGCCACAAATGATAGCTCAACGATGTGGCCCATCGTGTGTAAATGTATAGCAGCCAAATACTCTAAACGCATGTTTCTAAATGTAGAGGGAAAAACTGGAGGACCCGGAGAAAAATACATGCGACCACGGGCAGAACACGCAAATTCCAAATATACAGGAGGCATCAGGGTCAGGATCGAACCGACGACCTCCTGTATACCAGGCAAGGTAGTTAACATCTTGCCACTGTGGCGCCCTTCTTACCTTTACACTTCAGGCCAAAAAAACTAGAGTAAATTTAACTGAAGGTGTTGCTGTAGAGACTGCCAGTGTATCATGAATGCCGTTTTGATCAAGGGTGCTGCTGCAGTGGTTTGACGGCTAGCGCACTGGACTTTAAATTCAGAGGTTCACCGGTTCAATTACAACTCCCGGACGAGGTGGTTAAAATGATAATGCAAGTTTCTGAAATCCTCTGCCTCTGTCCACCCAGCTGTATAAATGTGCGCACCACAGTTAGTTGATCGACAGGTGGCTTGTGGTGGGGTACAATGTGGGCACTGCCACCACTTCCAAGATGACCGGTGTGCAGGAGTAAGCTCACTGGAGCTCCCTCCGGTGGAGACCCTTGTCTCTACACCGTCTCACAATGAGATTACGTGCGACACATTCACGAAATGCAAATCGGCCGAGGAGGTCCACTATCACCAGGTCCGTTCACGTTGACATTCGAAGTCGTTTTCGGAAAAAAAATTGATTGAAGTGTAATTAGGCTCAAACATAGAGAGAGTATTACCCATCTCGGTCAGGCTGATGACAAACAATGGGAATGAACCTCAGAATATGAGTTATCAACAGCACATTCGTTTATAAAATCATACTGAAGTTAAACATATATTTAAAGGTCACGTACAGCAAGTTGACATAACGAAAGTTGACCATCTCGCGGAGGTCCTCCTGCTGAGGACTGCCCACGTTTGGCAGCAGTGGACACGCTGTAACATGTAGGACATAATAAATCCGCCACAGAATGAATAATTACGTTAATGTTCGGGGAAGTCAATGGTGGTGAATGGGAGGGCTTAACAACCAAAAATGCTAAATTTCAATTTAAAGCTTTCGCGACTGCAGGGATTCATCTTCTTGGTTCTTTCGGTAAAGTCACGTAGAATGGAAGTAAAATAATAAAAATAAAACAAAAAAATAAAATTCTCACGACGTTTCGGCCACAACACAAGTAGCCTTCCTCAGGTGAAGAAACAGAACTGTCGGGAAGACAGCGCTCCAATGAACACTGCCAAGCTTGGCAGCGTCTTTTAAGCTACGTGGGAGGAGCAGAGCGCCTTGACGAAGGAATTTACATATCAACAGAAGGACTTAGCATTGAAAGAGCTGTGTTAATGTGTTGGATTAGCAGGGTGTTAAAGTCAGAAATTAGCATGTAACTGGGAGATTAGCACCACGGAAAGCGACGAGCTTTGCTCAGACGGACGAGTCCATCTATGTTCGGAACGGAGGAGGGGGGAGAAAATTTAGCATTCAATGCTAAATTTAGCTCGTCGCTTTCTGTGGTGCTAAACTGATTTATCATTAATTCTGTCGCTGGATGTCCTGCGGGCCCCACCCGTGCGGAAGCTGTAGGGCTCCGACTCGCGACCCTGCACGCCGCCCCAGCGCAGCGCCACGCGCACCCCGTAGAGCCGCCCTGGCGTGAGCCCTCGCAGCACGCGCTCCGTGCTGCTCCTCTGTGGGGTGGGTGCCAAAGGGGGGGAGGGGGTGCGAGAGGGAGGGTGCGAGAGGGGGGGCGACCCCACGTGGTGGATTCAGCCGTGGGTTTTTGTGCATTGCGAAGCTACAACAACGTTGGGTTCAAAGTATTCAAACATGACGATCTGGCCCATGCGTGGAATGATTAAGATGGTCCCACAACTCACCTGCAGGTCACAGTGGGCAGCCTCAGTCGCTATGCCCCCAGCCAATATCTTATTCCGAGGAAATCGGCAGAGATGTTGATTCAGCGATATCTCTGGGCACCAAAGCAATGCCTGTCTTCATGTTCTATCTGCCTCCACCTTGCACTTGTGTCCCGCCCACCGTTATCTCCTCTTGCTGATTTTATCTGTGGTGCTTTGGATACAATGGTCTATTCCAGGGGTCGGCAAACCTTTTGCTCCAGAGCTGTATGTGGCTCTTCAAGGACTGCTTCGTGATGTTATTTATTATTCACACGCATTGCTGCTCTTGAAATAGAGCTTTTTTACGGAATTTAAAAAAAAATGTCTCTTCTTGTTATGTTGGTTGCCCACGCTTCCCCCCTCCCCACCAGTATACTACAGCACGGTGTATCGCAACGATAAGACACGCACAGCCTACCAGCGAACAGTCGTCGTGCTGCCCGTGGGCGCTGCCGCAGTCGAGGGCCTGCAGCAGGACGAGGTAGGAGTCGTACCGCGCCTCGCCGGGCGACTCCCAGAACACGACAGCGGAGCCGGAGTCCAGCAAGCGCACGCTCACGTTGCCGGGCTGTGCTGGCGCTTCCTGCAGCGAGCCGTTCGGGTGAGCCTCCGTGTCCATCGCCTCCAGCTGACTGTGCGCTAAGGCACAAAAGATAGAGATTCAGATCATCGTCACTGGTGTTGGCCATGGAGAGTGGGAATCGAACTCGGGTCGCTGGGTTCGTAGCGCTAAGCCACCGCTCACACGCATGTACGCACGCACACACAGGAAGCAAATACCAATCTGGCGATTCAACGCGCTCCAACGTGAAAACAAAATTCATCAGCTGGACTCGCTAAAACTACACCATCTCAAAGAAGGCCAATAATTGAATATGAAAATGTATGAACTAATAATCGTACAGCATAAATAGAATTGTTCTTACAGATGTCACTGTTTTACTTTTGTATAATGACTTGAAAGCTACATTGTACATTGTTAACTAAATATGCCTAATATGTTGTTGACGTTTATGTTGATGTTTCAGAATCTGTGGGACAACTTTAATTGTATTTTGGATTTTTCCACCTTTCTAATCTGTAGTCTCTTTTTCTTTTGTACGGCTGCTGACGTAGATGCAGAACAACTACAATTTCACATTGAGGTGGTCAAGCCAGACTACCGCGTCAAAGCTGTAGTGGATACACATGTCATCACAAAAGCTATTTTTCTTAGTTCTTTCGGTAAAGTCACGTTGAAGGGAAACAACAAAATAATAAATTATATATAAAACAATAAAAATTCTCACGACGTTTTGACCATAACACAAACGGTCGTCTTCAGGTGTGTCGGTTTGCATAAATTTATTTTCAAACGGCGTATTTATTTATTTATTTATAAAAAAAATACGTTAGCGCCACGCGCAGCGATTTGGCAGTTTATTTAGGACTAGTCCATCTATATTCTGAAAAGAGGAGGGGGGAGACGAAATCATTGGAAAGATTTGATAAACCATTTCAGGTCTTAATTGATTGTTCACGCTTACAGTGGCTTTCAGACAGCATACATTAAAAAAAATTTCGTCTCCCCCCTCCTCTTTTCAGAATATAGATGGACTAGTCCTAAATGAACTGCCAAATCGCTGCGCATGGCGCTAACGTTTTTTTATAAATAAATAAATACACCGTTTAAAAATAAATACATTTATGCAAACCAACACACCTGAAGACGACCGTTTGTGTTATGGTCGAAACGTCGTGAGATTTTTTTATTGTTTTATATATATTTTATTATTTTGTTGTTTCCCTTCAACGTGACTTTACCGAAAGAACTAAGAATATGAATTACTGCAGTCACGAAAGCTTTAAATCAAAATTCAAAAGCTATTTTATCTCGTGAAAACATTCTTTCTTTCAGATGTTTTTAATCCGATCAAGAATTCAATACAATCATAAACCTTTAAAACTCCTTACAGATGTTGATGGGAGCAGAAGCGGCTGGGCTCTCGGTGCTGGCACATGGCCCGGCACGGATGAGTGCCCGGACGTGCACAAGGTAGCTGCCCGGGCCCTGCAGCAGCAGCAGCAGAGCCCTGGAGGACGCCGTGGAGCCCAGCAGGGTCACCTGGCCTGAGAGCAAGAGAGTAAGAGAGCAGCAGCAACAGCAGAGCCACTCGCCGTCAGCGGTTTAGACACCGGGAGCCCGTATCCACAAAGTGTGTCACATGATCAGCTTGTTATTTTATTTCATTCAAAACACTGCGATGTGCTTTTGTTGATTGTGTTTGAAGAAGCAAATGTGCAGATGTTTCATTTGTAAAATCAGCTTAATTGGCAAAACAAGAACTGATTTTAGCTTTTCTGTGGTCTATATTAGTGCGAGTTATTTGATTTTGGCTTATGGGGACTGACTGTTCTCTGATGCCTTCTTAAAAATAAAAACAAGCCCTCACATAGAGATCAATTTTAAACAGATTAGTACTTAGATATACAGTATGTATAATATACAGCTAGGAAAAAAAGCAGCTGGTGTTATGAATGCGACAAATATTTTGGAACACAGTTAAAATTAAAACGCATTTACCTTGCTTCTCCAGGTAAATCTTGTAGCTGTCGATGAGATCAGCGTGAGCGACCGCGGGTGGGTCCCACTGCACCATCACACGGGCCGCCAAATCTCCGGGCTTCACAGCCGCCCCATCGAAGTCACGACCGTGAGGCCAGCCACCTGCCGGGTCATCTCCACCTTCAATGAAGTTTCCACTCTCGCTGGACTCGCCATTTGACGGCGAATTCGGCGTCGCCGTGTCTGGCAGAGTAGCGGTTCCTGGCATCTGCTGCTCGAGTGTGTCTGTCGGTTCAGCTGTAGCAGCCAACGTGGGGTTTGGCAGCACGACGTTCACAATGAGAACATCTGTCCTTTGGGCTGGGTCCTCGTCGCCAGTCAATATCACCACCAACACATTCTGAGGGGCAGGTAGTGCTGCCGTAAAACAACAGCACACACAACACACACACACAACAGTGTTAGTAAACACAATCAATCGCAGGCTATCCCGTCAAAATTCAAAACTAATTGGGAAATATATATTCTTGGTTCTTTCGGTAAAGTCAAGTTGAAGGGAAACAATAAAATATATATAACAATAACATTCTCACGACGTTTCGACTGCAACACAAGCAGTCATCATCAGGTGTGAAAACCAACGTCGTGAGAATTTTATTGCTTTATATATTTTATTATTTTATTGTTTCCCTTCAACGTGACTTTACCGAAAGAACCAAGAATATAAATCACTGCAGTCACGAAAGCTTTAAATCAAAATGTAATTGGGGAATGTATGACCTTTCTGTTAGCTGTGACATTGCAGATGGTTGTAATCTGCATCTCAAGAAACTCACGGCCAAACAAGGCAGATACATAATAATTTAAGTTGTCACCAAATGTAGTGACCAGTTATCACTGCCTTGACATAACCACCACTGAACACTGCCTCCAAGGTCACTCCCTCAGCACTTAAAACATGCCCCAAATATATTTCTTATTCATTTTCAAACTAGTTCACCGAGCACAGCTCATGGCAGGGGGGCATTACCCAGGCTAATGATGTGTAAGAACCCTAAGAACATAGACGGGTTATCATTTAGCTCACATTGAGCAGGGGTTTGCTATCTCAGGTTAAAAATAAAACACGACATTTTGAACACGTTAGCAGACAAACGGATCCTGATGAGAAGACAGCGCTCCGAGCTGAGTTCCCAGATATCCAGAGAAGAGGACGGCTGAGAAGCTGCCGTCAGATGATATCAGAGACCGGCTTAGGCCGTCCCTGAAGAAGGGCTATTGTGAAAAGTGCAGACCGGGTGGCCTGGAAAACGTGTGCTCGCTGTAATGTCGACCGTCACAGCCGAGGCACGGCAACAGTAGGGGTGAGAGGGCCATGAAGAGAGGCTCTACCGGGACGGAAGAGCAACTTTCCGTGGTGCAAGTTGCTCCGGACGTAATTGTGGCCATCGCGCACCACGCTTCGCACAGCCAAGTCCTCGTAGCATTTGCCAGCCCATAGCCCATTGATGATGTTCTTGTTTACTGCTGGGTCTGAGAAGACAACAACACCAAATGATTTAACCTCATCGTTACAGCTTTCCATTAGTATCATTACGTACAAATATCACCACATGAACTGTCTTACTGTAGCCTATTGGAGGAAACTACTCCAGCACTTGGTTGCAGACGATAATCAAGTTTACCACAAGACATATTGTTTCAATATGAAAATAAAGCCAGATGTATTGGAGGCGAAGTTAAGATTGTATTAAATGAGTCTCTTGTCATGTCATATTTTTTTAAGTGATATTTATATCAGCAGGAAGGGCCCAGAGAGCTGCTCGGCACTACTTCATGGGCATCCTGTGACAGTACAAATGTTATTCACGAGAGAGCTTTGTTACAGTATTTCATTGATGTGGAGTGACAACAATCGTATTGCTTGTTGGGATTTGTCCGAGCGCTGTGCGATGGTGCCATGCTGACGCACTGCGCTGTGAGACTGCTGTGTTTGTGAGCGATGTGAGATGTGTGACACTGAGAGGGGCCCGTCATGGGATGAACAAAAATGTGAAAAATAGAAGCCAGTGTGATGCAGGCTCAGTATACAGAGTTGCTTCGCTAGACCCTTGTAACAATCATCTTGCCCAGTTCAACACGTAGGCTTTTGCGACTAATATCACCCATACTCGAGTTTTTGTCGGTTAGATCGCGTAAATATAAAACTGTCGTTAAACCCGCCACCACCCGACACAGCCATTTAGTAAGGTTTGTCACTTAAACAAAACATGCAAATTCATTACTAGTTCAGCACATCGGTGTGTTGGAGAATAAACCCACAACATTTACCATTCGAGTACGACGTTTTGCCAGTAATTATCAGTTATTGTGCTGCTCAATCAGTGCTACCTAATCAGAAAAGAATGCTTAGCTGGTTGTAAATCCAAGTTTTTACATTTAAACTTCGAGTATGGATTGTGGGATCGAACATTCGCGATTCAAGGCCATGTGAGGAGATTATTCAATAGAAAACTTCACAATTAATAGCAGAGGGCAGCTCAACAATCTGTAAAAAATATATTTCCATACATCAACTCGCACTGACCAGCGTGGTGAGGTATGGTCAAACAACCCCAATTTCCAGCACGTGTGGAGAGGGAGGCCTTTGTCCAGCAGTAGATTGATAAAGGACCATAAATTATTGATTACATGATTATTCATCATTAACTTTTTCGGGTTAGTTCATGTAAGTATAAATGTGTCATTAACCCGCCACCACCTGACACAGCCAATTAATAAGGTTTGTCACATGAACAAAACTTGGCCATTAGTTAATACTTTAGCCAACCGGTGTGTTGGAGATTAAATCTACAACATTTACAATTTGAGTATGACATTTCATTGGTAATTACATCCAGAATCATCGGGCGATTTTTCCAGAATTACTCGCAAAATGTCACTCTACTCAAATGTTGTGGATTTACTCTCCAACATACCAGTGGGCTGAAGTAGCAACTAATTGGCAAGTTTTGTTGACGTGACAAACCTAAGTGGCTGTGCCAGATGGTGGCGGGTTAACGACACATTTATACTTTCACAATCTAACCCGAAAAACCTTTATTATGAATATTGGTCACGAAAGCCTGCGTGTATTTAATTGTCATTACTCATTTCATTGGCTTGAGATGGAGCTAAAAATTGAAATGTGACGGTTAAAAGGTGAATAATCTTTTACCCCCCCCCCCAACAAACTTCCAGCGCCTCTCACCCATAACGTAAATGTGGACGATGTGGATGCCCTGTGTGTAGGAGATCTCGAAGCCATCGTAATGCGCCTCAGACGAGCGGTTGGGAGGGTGCCACGTGACGAGCACCGCCGATTCACGAAGCTCCGGGATCTCCTTCACCTCCGCGTGCACGACAGCCGGAGGCCCTAAGCCGGTCACACACATGCACACACGCGCACACACGCACGCACGCGCAAACAAGCACGATTAGGAATTAACCTTCAGCCGGTGACATTTAAGATAATGGTTTATATTCTTCACATCTTACCTGAGAACGGGTCAAGTGCAGTCTATAACGCTTAAAATAGCCCAAAAAGCATTCTCGCAAATTACTTGGTGATGCTGCTGCCAATGCCAATGCAGCAGTATCACCCGTGCATAGCCACCCGATTAGCATGGTTGGCTACGTACGGCACGAAAGATGTTCAACATATGTAAATACGGTGCACAAGCACAATCAACAAAAACAATTATGCCTTTTTAAATATATTTAATTGCCAACGTTTCGAGCAATGGCCCTGTACATAGAACATGCAGCTGTGAAGAAGCGCCATTGCATGAAAAGTCGCCGATTTTGTATATGTTCTTTCAAGGCAGCTTTGTTGACGAATATGTTGAGTTATTTTTATTTGCTGTTTTAAGTATTATTGTTTTGTTGCCTTTTCAGCCAAATAATCGAAGCACATCGTTGTCTAAGACAACCGGTGCGGATTGATGAAATAGCACAACGTGCTCGGACGTTACTCGGTAACGCCCCAACATATCGAATTTGTTATGGTTCACAAAGTAATTGAAATGAATCATGAGATGGCTTCTAACAATCTCGCCAAAAAAGAAACATGTTACAGTAAAGGTGAAGCTGCATTTTATTGACCACCTGGAGCAGTCAAATACATTGCACCCGTTTGTCAATATGCCGACGGATGAGGCTTCCCCGTGCAGTGCCACAGACATAGAACATTCTTAGACCATACTTCACCATGCTGGTTAATGCGAGTTGGTGAAGGATGGACCCACGACCGGTTCGGTTATTGCTCGCCACTGTGGCTGAGGAGCGAATGGAAATTACCGAGTTAACTGCAAAGTGTGCTGACCACTGCGTTTCCACTCCCACCTCTCCATTTTTCGGATTTTTTGTTAAAATAAATCATTTGTACGCGCACATATGCAGCTTAACATTCAGGGGGAATCAAACGAGGCTTCAAGCAGATTGGCAATAATGTACGTTCATGAGAAACTAGCTTTACTACCCGGCTTCGCCAGAGACTTGGATTCTTGTTTTGGATTAATAGACGGCCTACACGGAGGGTGGGGGGGGGGGATGCGTGACGTCAGCAGGCACACTGCGTGACGCTATCACATGCGGGTGACATCACAGATGTGACGTCACCGCTCACTTGCCGTGCAAAATATTATATCCATTATTGCGCCCCCCCCCAAAATACAAAAGTCTATTTTTAGACTTTTTGCATTGTGTACAGTCTGGAAGCTACCCACATACCAAATTTCTATTTTGTTGCATGTCGGGAAGTATGCTAAACATTTCGAACAGACACACATATTCACAAATTTCCCTTTCATATATATAGATGAGGGGGTGGGTGGCCAGCAGCACGCCCGGCCGCCTTTGTCTCCCCAGTGGCGATGTTCACACAGCAGAGCAGTTACTCGTTTGATGCTGAGTCGACCTAGGGGAGGCCCAGGACCGGTAAAAATAATCGTCACTGGTGGTGGCCATGAACGGGAATCGAACTCGGGTCGCCGGGTTCGTAGCGCGGCACGCTAACCGCTACACTACAATGCGTTACACTTCCACATGTGAGGGTCACGTGACAGATTTGACATCACAGCTCACTTGCCGTGCAAAAAAGAAATCCATTATTGAGCTCCCCCCCCCCCAAAAAAAAAATGTGTGCATTTTTATGATGTTTGCATGGTGTACAGTCTGGAAAATACCCACATGGCAAATTTCAAGTTTGTTGCATGTCGGGAAGTACGCTAAACATTTTGAACAGACACACATATTCACAACTTTGCCTTTTGTATATATGGAGATGACTCGTTAAAGTTGTCACCAAGTGTTCAGTGAACCATTCAACGGAGGCTGCGGCACCGTGCGATGAATGCAAACGGTGCGGCGCGAGTACATACTCGTGATGACAGTGGCGTTGGTCGACCATGTGGCGACGGAGGTGTTCCCAGAGGCGGCCCATAGGGAGACGGCGTAGCGGAAGCCTGGGAAAACGGGCCCCACGTCCAGAGCAGGGCCTGTCGGGATGTAGGGCAGCGGCGGCGTGCGGAGCACCTCCCTGAAGTTCTGCTGCACGGTCAGCCACGTGCTGCTCGCGTTGGCAGGCACCTCGCCTGCACGTGCCCAGACACGCAGGCTCCGCCCGTCCTCATCCTCCTGCACTTCGAGCAACTCAACAACCTGCACGACGCAAGCACGGACCCCCCCAGAGATCACATTCATCGTATATATCTGAGCATCCCATTGGCAGACTCCGATTAGCACGGTTAGCTATGTGCCGTGCGAAAGATGTTCAAAGTACATCCGTACATCGCATGTTAAGTATTTGCCTAACTGTACAAATACAACCTCACAGCGTTCTTGAATACTGCCACATGAATGGCAGGCTATTATTTTTGCATAGTTCTACTTACTGAGAGTAAATAGAGGACTGGTCGAATAATAAGACTTAGTTAAACCTAATCTTACAATTGTGCTATGTTGAAACAAAATGTGGAATTGGAAACTTGGTTCGTGAATATTTTCCATGATTAGATATTGGGTATTAAGCAAACCGTATAATTAGCAAACAGAATTCGAAGAACAACTAGAATTTTGCATTATTTTGTTAAATAAGCCAAATACCAGAAATAATAGATAATTACTATAAAAAAACTTGCACAGGCATTCCTATAGTAAAATACATTGGAGAAATACTCTACATTACACATTTACAGTGTAAAGTATATTTCCAAGAGCATATGCATAGGAATGAACGCTTGTGGAGGATGAAGAGGATGGCAGAATGGGACAAGGAGAACACGGCGAGGGATGCAGTAGAGGTGAGAGAGGAGGGAGTGGCGATGATGATGACGAGGTGCATAGGGGTCAAGCAAGGTCAGCAGGTCAGTAGAGGCCAGGCGAATTGTATGGATGTTGAACTTCTTTAACATCGTACTTAGCCAACCGTGCTCATCGGAGGTGCAGGGGAAGGACAACAAACTAAATACAAAAAGCAGTTTTAAAGAAATGAGTTTCAATCTAGATTTGAAATTGCATAGCTCCAGTAGCTTCCTAATATCGGAAGGAAGAGCGTTCTAGATAGCTGCAGAAGTGCATCTGAATTGTCTTTGTTCAACAGCTAGCCGAAAGCTGCTGTGACGATGACCGGAGTTCGTGAAATGGTTTATGTTCCTTGACGAGATCAGCAAATTGTAGTGGCCGTTGGTAAAGTTTAGGATACACGCTATGTCACGTTTTATATTTTACCAAAAAATCCACTTCGTAAGTCGTGGTATATTACACTCAACAGTTCTAAGGTTTGGGTTTGAGAACTGGTGATGTGTGAATTAAAAGTGGTTAGTTTACAATTATATACAGAATAAAACACTTGTCCACATACACAAGGACGCACAGTTGAACAAATGAGAATGACTTCAACAATAATGAGAAATTTGCAGCTATTATTCGCTAAAGTGGTGAGGAAAAAAAATACCTCTGCCAAGAGTTGGTCTGGGCCACCAGCCAAATGGGCACTTGAATGGTCCTGTAATCAGGCCATCACATGGCCACCAACTCCCTTGTATCACAATCATCGCCACATTCACTTATTTACTGTGGCTTTAGAACTCCCTCCCCCCCTTTTACCAGCCCAGCACAAAACATCTTGGCACCCAATACACCAGCATGGCATTGCCCACATTGTATTATCTTTTACCAGCCAGCCACAGCCAATCACGTAAAAGCCTCCCATGAGTTCATGTTTTCTGCATCACGTCCCATCTAAACCTATTTAACATGTCATGGGACAGCCTGCCTCAGCCTCTTACACATGCCGAGCACAACCCATCCCCATATATCCCACATTTGTAGAGATTTGTCCATCTTCATATATTCTGGCCACCTGGCTTAGCCACAGCCAAGGTACCATACATTGAAGTGTCGTTATTTGTCACTTTGTTCACTGTGTATCACTTATGTAACATAATGTAGCATTAAACATCCAACCAAATTAATTTAATCAAGCAGTCAAAAGCTTGCAGGCAGGATACCAATTAATGTATGCAAATGCATTCAATTTACAAAGCTTGGCACATCTATGGTGGGCGGCAATGGCCGGTGGAGGTCGCCACAATATATAAAGGCCAACTTATTTTTTTGTACAGATAACATTTTTGAAGTGAAATGGCACACCAGTAATCCACCGTGGTGGACGTCTCAACGTGGGATATAGGCCAACGAAGCATGAGCAGGGGCACTTCCAGTCGTATGTCTTCAAATGCAAACGCCTTCCCACTGACTACCCGTTACAGTGGGCACTTGCTTGGCAACACAATATGTATGTCGAACTTCTGTCGCGCCGTACGTAGCCAGCTGAAAGGGGTCCTACTGACAGATGGTATCTCGACGCACGAGCAGAACTTATGGCTGAAAGACCCCCTGGAGCGTGGCAGGCCAGGTTTCTGCCGAGCGGTACCAGGTACATTCTACCGTGGGGTGACCACGAGAAACTGGTGGCTCACCTCGCCACGCGCTCCCAGGGCCTCGACGCAGGCACTGAGCGCTCTGTTAACATCGGCCCTCGGCCAACCAGCCCTGCCCGCTGTGAACCCAGACTTGATGGGGCCAGGCCCCCTCCAACATCACTCCCTTCCACCCGATCGGCTTGTATACTTCATTAGCACACACCTGATGTTGTCTCAAGTCACTTGTGCGAGCTCATCCCTATTTCCTTGGTTCTTTCGGGTAAAAGTCACGCAAATAGAAAACAAAATATATATATTTTTGTCGCAGTGGTTGCTTCGTAGAAGATCAAAGCGAAATATTTGCACCGGGTCTTTCATGATTTTTGTGACTTCTTGTGATTTTCATTCCACTTTCCAAGGATAATTTTAAGTGCTTTATAATTAATAACAATTTTGATATATTGAGCAAAGCAATATGCAAAGAGTTATTATTGATATATGCATGTAAAGCAGCGCTTCTGTCAATTCAGATTGATGCTGTATTTATATTTAACTTAATTATCTTTAAAAAAGAGATACATTTTATATTGCGATTATGATTTGCTAGCTATTTTTTTCTTTCGCTTATCTGTTGTTTATTATTGTTTAATTTGACTGTTACTTGTTGGATATGTCGGAGAAGCGGTAGTGTTTTTATTCATGAAACCCGATTTAAGAGTTTCTTGGCTCACAGGGTAATTGAAAATAAATTGAAGATGAAATGTAATAAATGGTAGCTCAAGGGGAGTGACTCCAATGTTGTTTGGTATGTATCAGGATAACACGCAATGGTGGATAGCTAGGCAGGCCCAAATGTCGGGACAAAGGATTAAGGAATCGAGAGTAAATTAACAGGAAAGGGAAGGGAAAAGGCAAATCACATTGCACGAGATAGCAGTGCCATACTGAGTACCCTGACCACCTATAACCCAACAAGGGGCAAATGACAGAAGAGAGTTAAAGAAGGCACAAGCAGTGGCCATATGGTATATATATAGAGTGATTATAGCCACAGGTCATGTCAGCTCCCTCCAGCCATGAATTGGATACTTATAAAGAAGAAACGGAGCTGAACAATCCTGATCCAATATAACATGAGTGTAAAGCGTGGTAGTAAAAACATTACACATGTGTTATATGCTTAAGATAATATTTTAAACTAAAAATATCAAGTAATTTTGCTGCGAAGAATTAAAATCTGGAGGAACAAAATGTTCAAATCATGCACTTTAAACACAATTTTATTTAAAGTGGTATAATCTGTTCTTGCGTACATACAATGAACATTGCTTAATGAAGCTTTGAAAAGCTAATAAGCACATACCAGAGAGGCAGGAAACAGAGACGGCTCTACCATCATATTACTCAGAGACATAATTAGCCTCCCAAAATTATTAAAACCCTAAGCACATAAACAGTAACGGACATTGAAGAGTTTACCTCATAAAGTATCTCTTCACTCCCCTAAGTTTACCGCAGTAATAACAGTGCTGCAATAGCACACTCCTACCGACACACAATAAGTACAATCTATGGAGACAAAGCAACATTTCCACTTAATAAGATGTAGATCCATAGCTTCAAAACGGCATATCGTTCACGATGGCATCGCAGGCAAGTCCGTGCCGGCTGTGCTACACAATAAGAGACCAGTTTTATAAAAAAAAATTAATGTAACTGCAGGATTAATAATGACTGCAGACACGGACCCTCGCAAACCTCTTCCCTCCCCGCATGCCTGCGGGAAAGATCAGCGATGCCACCGTCTCCCCAAAAGACTGTGATGTCGCAAAGCCCCACGACATCTCTCATTAAGCGTGCGCAGAGGATATGGGTGCGCTTTACTGCTTCTCGACCAAACTATGGGTTTCGCCTTTCTTGACTGGTGCATCTGTGTTTTACACAAACATACAGAGTTTTCAACACTTCATTATTTTGTTCTCGTGCGTCTGGAGTATTTGGCCTGGTGTATTTTTTTTTGGGGGGGGGGGGTTTATTTTCTTAGCCGCTGCTCACAAGCCATCACATGGAGGGATTCATTCTAAAATATCCATTGTTTAAATTTTGATTTAAAGCTTTCGTGACTGCAGTAATTCATATTCTTAGTTCTTTCGGTAAAGTCACGTTGAAGGGAAACAATAAAATAATAAAATATATATAAAACAACGTGACTTTACCGAAAGAACTAAGAATATATATCCCTTGTTTGTTTTAGTTTTTCTCATGAACAAAAGCCTCAAATTCAAATCGGACAGTTGTAGGCGCACAGCCCACGTGCATATGTATCGACAAGATGAAAGTTGTGTTTTTTTGGATTGTCTTCTCGTAGGGGATGATGGTGATCCCCTGCGCTCCACACGTATCCAGAAGACGAGCGACAAGAGAACCGCTTACCTGGGTGACATCACAAGGACACTATCATGAACAATGTCGCGTGTTTTGTCCCTCACACAGAATTGCTCCGGTATGTCGAGATTTGTGGAAGGGCACTGGCAAAGACGTGAGTGTGTTGTCAAGCTCAGAATCCCCTTTGCTACTGTAACACAGACATTTCATCCACAGCCACAATGTCATTGGGACAGAGAAGATTTTTTTGTATTTCTTCCTGCTGAAGATATGCCACTGCTGTATTCCTTAACTGATGTGTGTGTGTGTATACAGAGTGGCCCAAAAGTCAGGACACAGGATAATTAAATT